TTGTTGATGGAAGCCTTTTCACGTGTGTGGGTGGATGAATGAGGAATATTTATTGCTTTTTATCTGCACACTTCCGAGAAAAATAAGTATGCAAGATTGTTTGGGATCTCAAGGTGTTTAAAGAGTTACTTTTATAATTGTACTGTATCTATGGTTGGGATTGTTATCGGTTTCCCCAGCAACCCCAACACCCCCCCATTGGAATTTTTTTTGAAAGTCTTGAGATTTTATGCACACAGTAGTATATAAACTCCCAAAGTCATGAATCTGGAGAGGAAGCACTAATCAGGCCATGGATTCTTTCCCTTTGCTCAACTAACTGCAAGTAGCATTAGGGTTATTAGTTCCTTGTTCAAATGCTGACTTGAGCCATGTCACCATATTTCACTTCTCTAGTCTGGGAAGAACTCACGTGCTGTACAAAAGCAATTTGACACAATTCCAGTGACTCACTTTTAGTACTCAATAAAGATCAAAGGTACTTACATATACAAGCCGCTGCCAGGAGCCTGTTTGCGATGTAGGGTGCTATACAGGTGGGGAAGATGGGCTGCACCATGTAGTTTGAGAAGGTGATGGCGATGACTGCTTGACTGGTGGGTTCAATGATCAACAGCGACGTCCACAACCGGATGAAGGCGAGGAAACCCCCAAAAGCTTCAAGTATATATGCGTAGGAAGCACCTGATTTGGTGATGGTTGTCCCTAGCTCTGCATAGCACAAAGCCCCAAATACAGAGAAGATACCTCCAACTGTCCACACCACCAGGGAGAGGCCATAGGACGCACTGTGGATCAGAACGCCTTTTGGAGAGACGAAAATGCCCGAGCCAATCATGTTCCCCACAATAAGACACACGCCATTTAACAGGGAGATCTCCTTCTTCAGCTTCATTGACTCCCCTGAGCCCTCGGACTTTACGGACGAAGGCTCGCCATTTGAGGTCAAGCTTTCGGACGCCATTGTTCAATAGTGTTTGTAATGTAAGATACAAGATGTTCCCTCTTGGATGTTATTACAAGTCTCGTTCGTGAATTAGTCAGCCATTGTGTGTGGCCACCTGTGGAGGCAGAACAGGTCATGTTAGGGATGCTGTTGCCATGTTGTCTGGTAACAAAGTAAATAGTTTATGCAATCAGAGACAAATCTAATCAAACACATTTACATGTCTCACTCACGCAAAAAGATAAGACACTCACAGCTTTTGGTATATTGCAGTACCATTAAGTGGCCTTTTAAGCCTGAGTGTATTGACAGAGCAACAGGCAGAGGAGCAAACATGCACCACATGCCTGACAATACTAGCAGTTCTACTTTAGTAACCTATGGAAGAGCTAGTACTAAAATCACTCTAATGGGATCTTCCCTGTCAGCGCTGTTTAGTGGTCACATGTTATCCAAAGTTCATCTGCTCGTCAGCATGTATGAGGCGTATGGAAGCAAGATAAAAGAGCGCACTTCTGTCATTGTACATTCTGTGTCTTCACATTAACACACACAATGTATTCCATGATCATAATTTTTCTGAGCTCAATCTGTATGTAGAGCAAGGATGAGGGCAAGTGCCTCAAGGACCCAAAATAAATTTGAGAGATTTGGATGTTTTTTTTATCTTTTCAGTCTTGATATAAATGTCCTAGTATAAACTACACATATACAGTCATAACAAACCATGGATCTTATCGGAATATGCGGCACACAAATGTTTCACAATAACAGAATAATCTAAAGAATAATGTTTGGGCATAGGTAAGTAGTTATTCCAACAGAGCATCTCTTACCTCGCCTTGTAGCACTGGAGTAGTGGCACGTGAGGTGTTTGACGCCTGAAAAACAGAGAAGTGCATGTGACCAGCAGTCTCAGAGCAAGGTCCAAAATCTATAGCAGAAAAATCTCCTCAAGATACAGAAGGTCAGATCATCTGGGCTCAAAACTGTAGGTCATTCTTTAAAATATGAAAACTGTTATTATAATGGAAATAGCTCTGTTGTGACAGTATTTATAAAATCTACATATCATAATTACAATTGAATGAGTAAAGAAAGGAACTCAAATCAGTCACTCAGTTTGTGCACAAAAAACATAATAGACAGATAAATGTATATACATATAAATTGATAATAAGAAAACACTGTTGTTGATATGTGCTTTCTAGCAGCATACGTATTCAATCCAGCAGCAATATTGAAAGCATGCAGACCATAGTTTTATAGTTCCCGGTCTAACTATTCAATATAATGACTCTTATCTTTGCTCGTTCTTTTATAGCACTTTCTATTTTTTTACTGTGGTATTTTTGATTCGCCTCCAAACTTACAGTCACTTTTTGAATATCTTACTTACCTCCTCCAGCTTTGAAGTGGCTTGTCCCAGGAGTCAGAGCTCAGTGCGAGTCTCTGGGTACCTCAGTGGTTGCTCTCAGCTGATGAACCTGTGGCTTCAGCTCTTGTGCATTTTCTCTTTGCCTTATGTCTGTGCCAGGGAGACGGCCGGACAGCAGCGGGAGGGGCGGGGTGCGCCTAACTTTGTTTTTCCTGCTTGGTTTTAATCACCATCATCAATTTATAATACCTCTTCACTGTAATGAGATTATAAAGCACTTTGAAGAATAAATGACCCACCCAATTTAAGTATTGGCCGATAATAATCCGGCAATAGTGCGCCACCTGTAATCTCTTTTCGTTTTAGTCAAGGTGGAAGTGTGAATGATGGAGGCGTGGGTAGTTTTTAATGAACTGTTGCTGAGATTTCTGTTACACGATCAAAAGTGGTAGTTGTCTGTGTTTTAGAGACACACACAATTGCATAAATATATGTATAGGCACAATTTGAAGAAAAGAGACAACACTAAACAAGAAAAATCCATTCGTTAATACGGACGCCTCGATTATTGGCTCAATGGTCATGGGCGCACTGGACTGTAAGCGTATAGCTCCCCCGTGTGGATATTTGGGGGAACATTCAGGCTGTGAAACCTTACACATGTGGATATATTGAGGATGATTATTATGAATCATCCAGAATCATCATATTGAGGATGATCATGGTTATTACTGCAGTAATGTAGATTATTACTTCAATAATTATTACCTCAATGTACACTATTGTTGGTTAAAAAGATAGCTTACTTAAATTACATCTGAGGGAAGTTTCAATTAGCATTGATTGCAACCTACAAAAGGGTTTATTTAGAATTGGTCTTAAATGTGTTTGTTTGAAATGTTGTTTTAAAATGGACAATAAACAGAGAGATAAGAAAAAACTTGTGAGCAGAATACAATACAGTACATTTTATTCTTATATAGCCCTAAATCACAACAGCAGTCATCTCAGAGGACTTAAAAAACCATTGACATCACCAACACAGATCAGAGAATCAACAGTTAAGACACAAAAAAGATTTTTAAAAAACAAACACACAATAAAAGGAGAGGAAGCATCTCCCAACTATCATAATTGTCATGTTTGTTTCCACAGACATGTTGTTACTATGAATATAATCTGTCACAAAATGGCATTAAATAGAGACTGTTCTGAATGAAAGGTTAATGTTCAGAAGGTTTATGCGGTTGATGTGCCACATTCAAGTTCCACTGTGTTGCACAATGATAATGACATAAGTATCAAGGGGGGCATCCACTGTTCTATACCCATTTGTAATTAATCAAAGTGTTACGCCTGGATTGACGTATGTAAAAAGACTCTTATATGACCTATAAAAATGTCCTGATTAATGATCACTCTAAGTTTCTTTTATGCCATTGATAAAAGCTTCACTCTAAGCTTGTCACACCTGTAGAACCACCCCCTCCCCATCAGCATCTCTTGAAAATAATGTATTGTGAAATGAATGACTTTTTGGATAAAGACACATCACGAGGATGTGGACGAACTTCTCACACATGGCTCCTTTGTTCCTCCATCCCTGCCTGGAGCATGCTTTACTGTGGTTACCAGTTGTCATGGTTATGGAGTAGGAGGAAAAAACTACAGGGATTTAGGGCGGCCATTTTGGGGACAGCTGGGCCAGGTTTTTGCCCCCTGTCCTGCTCCCAGTCACTTTGGTGGGGGTGGTATTGTGTATGGATTAGAGCTTCCTGTGTGTCAGCTCATTACACGAGCATGAGATGGGGAGAAGGGATGGAGTATAGAGAGGGGGGTGTACAGAGCCAAGGCAAGAGTGAGTGAGAGAAATGAAAGAGAAAATAAAAGAGGTGCATTTGAAAGAGTATGACACAGGGAGGGGAGGGATAGAGGTGGTGGCCTCTACAGCTGCACCCTCAATCGCACTCATACAAGCAGCGATTATCCTTTTCACACGCACATACGCACACACAGTGTAGGGACTGCAACATATTAGAAGACACAGGCTGAAGAAAATGTTGAATTGGGGAGGCACTCCCAGACAAAGAACACCTCAATCCTAACTCCCCCAGCTGGGACAATGAAAGGGAAAAACTGACCATCAGTGAACATGCAACAGGCAACTGAAAGATTTAGTTTACTATGAATATGAAACAAGAAACAAACAGATCTCTCGACATGTCACCATTGTTTTATTTAACTGTTACACATCGTCATGGGAACATATTTTGTTTCACTGCTACAAAAGGGTTTACAGGGGGTAAAGCGTACAAATACTCTACAGGACTAGGCAGGAATTTGCAATGAGTGCAGAAAAAACTCTCAAGTGCTTTGAGAGGAGCAGAGGGCATAAAAAGGGATTTATAATGGACGGGTCTTGTCCTTGCTTCTGGTTCCAGCATGAATCCAGGTTGACACCAAGAACGTTTACAATCATAAGTGTACTTAAAAAAAAAATGCTGCTAGAAAAAGATATGAGAACTGTTCACAGCATTAGTGTTTAACTTAACTTGCATCACCAACATTGTTATCTCTGGGGAATTTTAGATGAAGTCAACATTCTGGCAGCATGTGACACAGTGCAACCTACAGTGCAACTTAGCACATTGAACATGTGCAGTTAGCAGCAACACATTCAGAAAAATATACAATTTTGGCCCATACAAAGGTGGCCTCATTTGGTATTGACTTCATTCTCAACTCTGGATCCTTTTCTTAACATCACCCACTATGTTTCTGTCAGAGTCAAGTGTTGAGAATGTTTAGGATGTAAATGCACACTGGAAAGAGTAAAATAAGGCCGCATCGTGATCTTGGAAATACCTATAAAAAATACTACATTCATGTTTTCCCAATTTAACTAGGGCACAAATACTGCAGCTCTATCCAGCTATCATAAGTACAAATGTATTACAAATGAATAAACCTAAAAATGAATATCATTCTAGTCTTTTGAAATACATTCCCTTGTCAGGACATTGTTATAACTGACTTCAGCATTCAACTATGCTTCAGACAGTTTTGTCCACAGGCTCTTCTGTCCCATTTGAGCCTGCAGGGTCAGATTCACCCTCTACCTGCTTTTTATCCAGCTGCACCGGTTTGACAGAGCCTGCGTTGGGCTCTTCCTTAGTTTCATTTGGCTGAACCTTGGTCGGGGTGCTCAAGGTGACTCCGGGGTGGCTTCTCATGTGTCCCTGTTTTAAAAAAAGTTAAAGTTAATACAACTTCATAAAAACAAATAGCTATTTTTCATTAATTTAACGGTAGAGGCTTTGAACCTACCTTTAGTCCACTTCTGCTTGCATAAGCTTTGCCACACTGGGAGCAGCTGTAGGGCTTATCCAGCCGGGCAGGCTGTGCTGGTGGGGGCACGGCCGTGCTGCTACTGCTTTCTGTAGGACTGTCCTCTTGTGATTTTTGAGCCTCTGCCTTGATCTCATTTGTGGAGGATTCCTTCTCTGCCTTTTCTACAGATTCTGTGATGGTGCTGGGACTAGCAGGAGGGGTGAGTGATGTAGCAATGGCGGGCTCTTTTACAGCACTCACTTCTTCATTGTTACTAACATCTTTGAGAATCTTTTCGTTCTCTGTTGTAGATTTGGCAACACAGAGTGACAGAGGAGCATCTTCAATAGTTGTATTTGTACTTTCTGGAGGTGCATTAATTGAACCAATGCTGCCTATTTCAGCATTTGTCTCCTCTTCAGAGTATAGAGAACTGTCTATAGGGCTAACATCCACCGGGGGGTCCTCTGCTCCTCCTAAGGAGGGGTTTTGGGTCAGAGGTGAGCTAACACTTAAAGCTGAACCTTCACATTCCTGCATTGATGTGGGATCAGAAGCATCCTTAGACCCTGAAGTAACAGGAGATCGTGGGCCTTTTGTTAATGCCAGAGGAAGAACCTGGTCTTTAGATGACATGTCATTAACACTATCAACCAAAGCAGCATTCTCTGTATCCAGGCTATCTTCTAGCAGCACCTCTTCATCAGGTGGGATTTGGCCTCCAAGGTGCAAGCGGATGTGGTGCTGAAGGACCAAAGCATTTGTGAACTTGCGGGGGCACAGCGGGCATGAGTTTAGTGCACGGGCATTTGGTGGACGTGAACGATGAGTGGCAAGATGAGCTCTCAGGCTGCCCTTTGTGGAGAAGGAACGACCACACACCTTACAAGGAAAGGGACGTTCTCCTAAATGTGTGGCTTGATGCAAACGCAAGGCCCTGGGGCAGCTAAGGACGCGAAAGCAGACTCCACATTGGTTAGGAGCAGGTGCAGTGGGAAGAGAATGCGCACTGCTTGAGCCTCCCTGACCGGTGGCGTTTACACTTGGACTAAGACCAAGAGCTGCTAGCATCTCTCTTCGATATGCACTAGTTGACAGGTCCTGGCCATTAGCTCCACCATTGGCTTCAGCTGTTTGTGAGGAGGTAGCAGAAGAACCCCCTTGTGGCTGCTTCTCAAGTTTCTGAACCAGTCGCTGCAACTTGGAGGTGTCTGAGGTTTGGTTCGAGGTAGCAGGAGAGCCAGAGGAGGTTGATGGCTTAGGAAATGGAGGGAACGGGAACGGCAGTTGGTGGGGGCCAGCTAGATGGCCTGGAGGTCTAAGAAGTGCAAGATGGTGAGGAGAGGCACCGCCCGGGAAGAGAATTTTGGGAAGTTGGGCCAGCTGGGAGTATGGGGACTGCAGGCTGCTGTGTGGAGGCGTGTTTTCATCAAACCGCTGCTGTTTTGCGCTCCTTGCTGATGGCGAGGAGGACGTAGATGAAGAGGCAGTTGTAGAAGCACTGGCTGCTACCGAGGCCCGGTTCAACTGTAGAAGTGAATGCGCCGTGGAGAGTAGTGCCATATCAACAGAAGGCGGCAATGGTAGAGAGGAAGGCGAGGACCGTGATGAACCTCCAGATAGGAAACCCAAAGCCATGTTGTCTGTCATCCCAGGAATACTCCCCTTGACTCCATTATAACCCTCCTCATCCTCTGCTCTCCTTTTGCGCCTCCTGTGAACAGCACTGGGAGCGGTCACTATTTGCTCTGAAAGCGCCGGTGGCAAAAGAGAGAGTGACAATTCTGGATTTTGCTCTCGGTGGCGCAGGAAGTGAGCTTTGAGGTTTCCCCTGGTTGTGAAACGGCTCAAGCAGACTGGACACTGGTAGGGACGCTCTCCTGTATGGGACCGCAGGTGGATCTGAAGCGATGAATCACTGCTTAAGACTTTCCCACAGAAGCGGCACACGTGTTGGGGGCGTGCAGATGAAGATGCAGAGCCCAGGGAGGAGCTGGGTTGGAGGTCTTGGGAATGGCTGGTTGTGGTAATTGGAGCTGAAAAAATTATGCCATTACTGGGACCAAATACAGAGGAGTTGGGTGATTTTTCGTGATGATAGTGTGGTGGTAGGCCTAAAGACAAGGATAGGGGGTGTAAGGAGGCAACTGAGCTCATAGTTGTTGAGGAGGAGGTAGAGGATGATGGCGCTCTAGATCCATTGACAGTACTTGGTTTTGACAGGAGTGGTTGAGGAAACAGGGAGGATGGAAGCCCAGTTAAAAGTGAAGATGTTGTGGTTATAGGAGTCGCCGTTGAGGGGTGAGTCGGTGATGAAGATGTTTCACTTGTAGATTTATGGTTGATCTCTGATCCATTTACTTGTGTGCTATTTTGTTGACCAAAAACAGCCCCTCCAAGCCTTAAAACGTGCCTACATATCTCTTCTGTAATTTGCATTTGGTGAATTTGGCGCTGTTGTAACACTCGTAGCTCCTCCAAAAGCACTGCCAGCGTTGGGGGCACTTGGAGGTGGTCCTGTCCTGGAGAGTCGGATGCTTGCAGCGGTCCAGGACTTGTGCTGTCATGGTGGGATGGCACAGAATTAGACGATAAAGAAGATGAAGAAGTTGTGGTCATGGCAGAGCTGGCTATTGGTGGGGACGTCATGGATGAATGGGAGTTTCCTTGATTGCAATTGGAGGTTTGACCCAAGGCAGGTGGCGAGTGAGTTTGGGAAGAGAGAGAGGGGTGAGGGAAATCCGGGGAGAGGGAGGAGTGCGTGTTGGGCAGAGATGTGGTGAAGGGTGCAATGTTGTTGGGCCAATGAGGAGGAGGAGAGCTCTCGCTGGGCAAAGATGGCGCGTGGAGCCCACCGGGGGACGGGCGTGGGGCCAGAGGCGGCTGGCAGTCCTGAATGGAGGTGGGAGATGAGGACGATGATCCGGATGAGGTTACTTCAGAGCCAAGAGATGTAGAGGGTGACTTCATCCCCAGGTGGTCATCTAAAATAAAGAATGAAAACAACATTTAGAACGTTTAACAACACTCAGTAGTAGCACAAAGGAAAAATGAACCCACAAAATCTTCAATACCAAAGTGTTCTGTTTTTCTAGTTCTTGTGGAACATTTTTGTAAGCAAATTTGCGCACATACCAACAGATCATCTTACACCTTCAAACAAAATCCCTGCCAGGAGCTTGCCCTGAACAAGCAAATAAACAAGTGGAGGAACTCTGCAGTCCATGAGTCTTTGTAATGTCTTGTCTCAATCTGTACTCTCCCAAGCAAAACTCCTCAAACATCTTGCACACACAAAAAGCTCACAGACCACCTTGCTGCTATGGTAACACATTTTAGAGGACAATGGGCATCACCAGGACAACCCATAACCCCTCTTAACCCGCCCCCTCCCTACAGCAGTTACGTCTTTCATCTCTCTATTTACCCTTCCCCCCTTACGTCACAGTAGAGGCCAAGGGTCAGGCCATACTAAGGGTCCTGGGCACTGTCCAGACACTCTGATTGGTCAATTTATCCGACCTCTGCGGCGATGGGGTCAAATTCTTTCAAAATCTTGAGCGCAGAGTGAGAAAGAGTTAAAAGAAGGAGCAGGGGGGAGGGTAACAACAATGGAGAGACAAACTAACTATTCCCTCCTGGAGAGTTATAGTGATGGAATGAAGACTGTACCTTTGTGAATTAATCAAGAGTTGACTTCTAAGTAAACAAATTGAAGTTTATTAAAAAAAACTTTGTAGTAATTACCTTCTTGGAAAAGAAGAGAAGATATGTATGTGTATGCTTCAGAGTTTGCACTTGACAGCAAACATGCAAAATAACATCTAAATCCTCACTCAATCTTTTTGTCCTCCTCATCCATTGACTCCCCCCAACTGTGTAGGAGCGCATACAGTCAATAGAAGTGGGGGTGAAGGAAAAGGGGGAAGGAGGGTGGGAATTGGGAAAGGGGGAGCATATGTGGGAGAAAATGCATGGACAAACAGCAAAAGAAGAGGATAATAGAAGGGTGGAAGATTAATCTTTACCAAAAACACAACTTCCCCTCCCCCAGCCAACTACTTTATTGTTAACAAATAAGAGAGTTCTCCACTCCAGTAGTTAGTGCAGCATGGCCTGTTGGTTTCTCAAAAGAGTGACGGCACATTAAAATTCCCACAGATGTAAAGGCTACTTCGAGGTAATCCTGATCTATTCACCATGTTGGGACACGATGATTGGTTTTAAGAAAAATGGCCGGACTTCCATTAGTGGAGAGCACGCACAGTGACTAAGCATAACTTTTATTTTAAGCCACAGGTGCAACAATGAAACTGCTTTACTCTTTGTTTATATTGCTTATTTTTGTAATTGTTGACAAAGAAGTTGTTTTAAGAATGTGTATATTCAGCTACTTTACACGCGGTACTGAAAAGGCTAGCCCTCTTAAGGTAGCCTTAAGTTAGTTAAGTCAAATTAAACAGCGAAACATCCTAGAGCATGTAGATCCAAACCAAAACCGCCCCGTGCGCGTAAAAGACGGTGCCGCTTGTGCGTAAATTCCAAGAAGGCTACAAACGCATGCATAATTACAAAAAAAGTTTCTCACCGTGAGCAAGTAGTTTTGGGCCCCCCGGATCCGCGTTAACGAGATGCTGGGGACGCTTCTGTTTCCGGCGTGACATGATTCACGGCGAGTCAGACGGAAAGGGGGGCATCAGCAGAGTTGTTGCGCACTGGACCTAGACGCATCCAAAGTTTAAAAGCAGCACCCAGGAGCCACAATAAAACTAGTACAAGATAATTGTGAAATCTTTCCTCAGATGAAATACTAGGAAGTCTGATAAATGTCTTGCAGTCCTCCCTCAGTCCTGCTCCATGTCATATACTGGGAGTGCGTGTGTGGCTGTTTCTAAAGTCTTTTCTCTACCCCCCCTAAAAAAACTTGTCCAATTTGCGCCCCTCCTCTCACACTGCTGTCCCACTGCATGCACATACAGCGAACACACACACTCACATGCACAGAACCACTCCTTGTTCTTCTGTGATATTTGCATTTGAATGGCGAAGCACACACAGCCTCCCAGATTCCCTTTTTCTTTTTCAACCCAGCTTTATTTGGCTTTACATACTCACTCAGCAGCAATAAATCTTAAATAGAACGTATCAAGTGGACGTAAAATGCGTGTTGACAGCAAAAAGCAGACCATATGTGCAAAAGCAAATGAAGTGCAAATAGAAAAACGAATGAGGGGTTTATAATGTGTAGAACAGGTGCCATAATGACCGGTAATGTAGTCATTAATATAGAAGCCTCATGTTTCTGGCTTTACAGTTCTATAGCAGGCCAATAACAGGTGTTTTGGGGAAAGCAAGAGTCATAATTGAGCGACAGAATACATAGGCCTTTCATTTCCATAGGGCCAATTATAAACAAAAGTACAGGGTGTCGTTGAGGGGCCATGTTCATATGCAGTACGTGGTGTGTTATCACCGCCCGAATGCATAATACTCACCCTTCCACCCAGCTACTCCCCCTTGTCCAAAAAGCATCTTACACTGGAGCTCTATTTAAAAGGTAGAGAATAGATGGGGATCTTTGACAATGGCTTGCTGGACACAGTTGAGTGAGCATCTCCCCTCTCTCACTATGAACCCCCGGATCTACTGCTGCTCCGCACAATGCGCCTCTTTCACCCCCCGCCTTTGCTTCTGTACCACGTGGAGAAACGGATAAAAGAGAGAGACAGAGAAAAAAGTGGGAGGTGTAGGAAAAGAAGGGGGTCATATTTAAGTAGTCTAGGTGTTTCACATATGCTTCCTATGGTTGGACTATGAGATATGAACCTCCATACAATAAAACACTGTTGCGTTCAATTTCGTCAAAATGTGATCACAATGTTGACATAACTTATTCATATGTTTTTACTTACATTTGTTAGTGATAATGTTTAAACTTATTTATGAAAAAGTAACATTCTTCAAGCTTGGACACATGCGTCGATGAGCTAATTTCGGTTAACCTGGGGCACAACAGCGGAACTGCTAACACTATTACTCTGTTGACAATCCTTTTATTAGTGACAACATCAATAATAGACTTTACACAATTCTAATATTATCCACCTGCTTGTTTCCTTGGAATGCCCCACAGTAAATCTGACTTCGTAATTACACTAGTATTAGAGGTTATTTTTCTAATTGAGTAATTCGCCTCAATTGTGCAGCAGCCAATCAGGACGAAGAATGACTAATGAGCGTCACGTGTGAAGGAGAGACGTTAAAGCGGTGAGTTTTAACGTTAGTTTGTTTCTTACTGAGATTAACGTAGTAAACACAATATGCAACAATATTAAGCTACATTAATTTAGAAAGAATGCATTATAATTAACCTTACAGATTGAATAAAGTATTTCTCAGGCTTGACCGCAGACTTGTGAACGCTAAAAGGCTAATGTGAGTTACAGTTAGCTTAGCGCTATTACTATGTTTACATTATTCTAATTCTAATAACAAAAACAATAAATCACTTCACAAAACTTTGTTATATTTAGCTAAATTACTACCTGTTTCTTTGTTATTGTTGCTTTTGCCTGTCCCACAACTAACATTTGCAATTCTATTTTAAAGGGTTCTGTCTTTTTAATCGTTCTTCTCACTTCGAGCTGGCTCGCCCCTTCACAGAGTTGACTTGTAACTTGGCCAGTTGAGTCAGCATCTCCCCTCTCACTCCATCCAAATACCATCATGTAAAATATTCTATAAAAGCCACAATATCTATGTGGAAACAAACTGAAAGTGGTCATAACCCACCAGTCAAATGACTGATTTAGTTTAACAGCTAATTACTAACATACCGTTCATGCTGGAATTTTAGCCTTGGCATCACCCTTTTTGTTTTACTTCAGCTCCTTGTAAATGCAGTGTTTCAATAAGCAGTTTATAGCTCTGTTGTGTTCTTTCAGCCGTGGCCATGACTCTGTATGATGACACACTTCTCTGTAACTTCCCCAAGTGTCGGGGAAAGCTCAGTGGTTTTGCTTGGGTCACAGCGTGCTCCCATGTGTTCTGCGACCAGCACGGCTCTGGAGAGTTCAGCTGCTCTCCTGCCATCTGCCCGGCTTGCTCCTCCGCTCTGTCTGGCAAACTGGACATAGTTCGCACTGAGCTGTCCCCCTCAGAGGAGTATAAAGCCATGGTCCTGTCAGGTCTGCGGCCTGACGTAGTTTTGGACATCAGTGCACGAGCCCTTGCTTTCTGGAGATATCAGGTCAGAGTCTATTGTGGTACATTACATTTGTACAATACTCATACTTTATGTATTTACAGGTTCACCAGGAGCGTATGTATCAGGAATACAGCTTGTCAAGGGCTGACGCTCAGCTCAAGCAAATGGATAAAGTTTTGACACAACAAAATCAGAGCAGAGAGTTGGAGCTCACAGCCATGAGAGGAGAAATAGCATCTTTAAAAAAGGTAAAATTATATTGATGATGTAGGCAAATCCAGTTCAAGCACCAATTCATTTGAATAATATAGTTGTTTCTTCTGTCCAGGTGATGGATGAGTACAAAAGGAAGTACAGTGAGGTCTCTGAAAGGCTGATGGAGAGAAACAGGCAGTATCAAAAACTCCAGGGGCTTTATGACTCACTCAGGCTGAGAAACATGGTGGGCACAGGAGACAAAGAGACATCTCACCAGGAACATCATGACTTCAACACAGGTACACACTGCTGATTAAGATGACTGCAGATATTCTATTAGGTGATTTATATTAAAGTTTGAGGGTATAATTAAGTAAGGGATGCACAAATAGGCAGTGTCAACTAGTATGCACAGGGGGCAGCAGTTTGGGGTGTGCACTAAAGAGCTGATAATTTCAATGAACATAAGCAATTCTCCAATCATCAGTGTAATTAACAATGTATCAACCTGTGTCTCTAGGAATGGGGCGACTCAGAACTCCCCAGAGGAGCCCACAGTTCCTCACTACGGGCCAAGACGGGGTCAGTAGGTTCTTCTCGTGCCTTGAGCAGGATGGAGCAAAGTCGTTCTTTCAGTTCGGCACTCCTATGAAGGACAGGGCACGTACTCTTGTCAAGAAACACCAGGGCTAAAAGTTTAAAATTTATCCCATTGGGCATAGCCAATATTCTTGTCTGATATGCTGTCCAATTTGTTTAATGAGCTGGCTAACATTAGATATTTAAATAGAGATTATAACTATTATCTTTACATGTCAATGCAATGCAACAGTTATTATTTATTTACTGTTTAATTTTAAAACTGTTTGTGTTGTTGCATACTGTTCTGTTATTCACCAAAAGAGAAAGTAAACACAAAGCATTGGAATGGAAGAATTTGTTATTGGAAATTTGCATCGAAAACACTTTTGCAAAAAGCATCCACCAACAAAAAGTAAAAAAAGTATAAATATAGCAAATGGTTTCAACTAAAGAGAATGGAAAGTGCCTATAAATTCAACACAGAGAAGGCAAAAACATGTAACATTTCCAAAGACACAATAATAAAATCGTTCCAGTACTTCATGCAGAACTCATTCACACTGGGGCTTGGAGCTGACGGACACAGCTATTTGACTTTGGATTTTTTGCTTCTTCCCATTTACAATCAGGAGCAGCGGGGAGTCCACTCGTATACTTTTGAAGTCAAAAGACTGACGGAAAATAAATGTATATTACTTTATTTATATTTCAAGTATGCTTTTGTTGGGTTCATATTATATCATACTGTGAATACTTACCTTATCTTTGTGTGTTATACTATGACGTTTGATGTGAGGTTCGGGAATGACGATAGTGTCTCCAATGAGAGCTCCCCAGGTGTCAGCAGTATTGTATACCATCACAACTAGACATGATTCCTCACTGTCCACCATGCCAAAAGTACTGCAAAGAATATAAAAAACACAGTCATTGTAAAATTCTGCCAATTTGAGACAATAGTTAAGTAAGTTAAACTCTTACAAAGCCATTCTCCCCTCTGAAGCCAAGCTGAACACCACTTTTCCCAGAGCAGCAACTCCAACATTGTTTCCGTGAGACAGAGCAGACAGAGTTCGTGGTTCCAAGCTGCCCACACGGCCCGAAGGAGACCGGAACTCAGACGAGGAGCAAGGGCCCAATGCTGAAGTGTTGAGGTTGGAAAGCATTGTACGCAAACGACGGGCTTTCACTTTCCCCTGAGAAGAAGCAAGAAACAACAGTGCTTTGGTTCCATCTTGTGGTCTAAATGGTAATGAACAGATATGCCAGAAAACAAGTGTACAGCACATTTTTCTTCAAGGTTTTACATTTTACGTAATATTGTAGAGTTTCAGTTGCAATTGTTTCCCATAGGAGGCATTTGTCTGAGAGCAGAAACAGCCTTAGTTCAGCCCAAAACATACACATAAAATATACATGATAAGCCTACATCCATAAGCCCACGTTGTTGTATGGACTAACACACTTTGGTGTAAATATAACATCAACTCCTCTAGGGACTACAGATGGAGACTACATTTTTTGCTAACTTTTTCTTTATTATGAGATTAATGCTCATTATATGTTGTCCCTGAATAAATAAGTAAATACACATTTTAAACCTATAAATCTTCTAGACTGCATAATCAGGTCCTGAGAGTGGAGCACATAAATGTGTTTTTCAGTTTTCCTAGTCTGTTTTAGAACTGTTCAGAGATGGTATGTGGGACTGTCAGCGGAGACGCTCACATGATTTTATCTACTAATTTCAATAATCTGAACATCTGTGATTTATATTTCAAGATTACTAAACCATCTGACAGTACATTGTTGATGAAATGTTTGTATTTCTAATGGTTTTGTCCTTGCATGCTGGACTCCTTTAGGCTGTCATTTACCTTGTTCTGAATGAGCTCTGTCGTTTTCTCTAGATATTCCAGCAGCAGCTTCTCTCTCTCTGGAGGGTCGTCCCAGTTTGGATCCAGCAATGCAGCGCGACTGTAGCCCTCCAAAGCAGAGCTGAACATCTCCTCGTATTGGAACAAATTGGCTCTGTTGAAGTGCAACTCTGGGTAAGAGGACGCCGCTTTGTCAACCTTCTCCTATGAAGGCAAAAAATTAATGGTTATGCCTTCAACAAAGCTGTGTATCTACTATTTGAACTTACTGATTGTGCATAAGAACTGAAAGCTTGTTGAGAAAATTGGGGATTTTGCCCGCTACAGAAAAATAGAGAAACATAAGCATTTCCCAAAGTATCTGCAATACAAAAGCACAAATTTAAGCTGAGCACTTAAAAATGAAAACTCAGAAGGAAGAACCCTGCTCTACTCACACCACGATTCTCCATCTGTGACATCTAACTGAACAGCTTGACGAGCCAGGTCCACACTCTCCATCACCTGTTTGTTGTGGCTTTCATTGCTGGCAGATGGCAGTTGCCTCAGAACCATGGAAAGGTTACGCAGGGACACTTTGTTTTTGCTCTTTGGAAACATATTGAAGAAGACTAATTTACACATCAGTCCCACTGCAATATGATGAGATGTACCAAAACATGAAGACAGGCCCATGTGTTACCTTCTGCAAAGCTACGGTAAAGCAATTCTTGGCACCACTAAGATTGCCCTTTTTCCAGTATTGCTCTCCTAAAATATTCCAGCCCTCCACCAATGTAGGTTCTAGCTTGACCACTTGGGAAAGGCACTCCTCAGCAATGTCACTAAAATCTGGAGCTACATTCAGGCATCTACCTTTGAGTAGCAGAAACTCAGCCTTATGCTTACATCGATCTGTGAACAAAGAGAAGAGCATTTGTAAACCGTTTGGAGGTTAGGGGCACTTAATTACAACCATTGATTAAAACCTAACCTTCATATTCTTGTAACCTCTTTAGTGTTTTTTCAATTTCTTGTGCAACATCACTTTGTTTTTTCTGAGCATTGTCCACACTGTGAGTCTCAAAATAAGTGTCTCTGAAATTATAAAGCTCATCCACCAGGTCCTGCAGGGAAGAGGCCAATAAACATGTGTTAATGATGCCTATGTAATATGTATATTACTAAAGAGGGTGATCATACGGCAAAGCATACAGTGTGCCTGCATGCTATGGGTTAATTTATAGTGAAAGATCATTCAAATGCAGGTGGCTATTACACTACAGTAACAATACCTGAGCTTATTTAGTGATGTAAAAAGGTTATAGTAGATATAGAGGCATGCTATTAATGCAAATTGCACATGTACGAAACAGAATAATGAAGTTAATATAGGATTACCTTCAACATTATGAGATCGTTTTGGTCTCCACTGTTCTCGTCTGCCGCCATCTTTACCTTTATACAAGAAATCCCCTTTCAAAATGGTTTAGATCTCAGAGATGATGCTTGATTTGAATGGAAGGGTTTCAGAATGCCACCGCTGTTCTCTAAATCAGGCTGTTTCAGTGATGCTAACAGATGTACAGAACAAAAGCTTTTAATTTCCAGAGATATCGGAAGTAGAAAGTCCGTGTCAAAAATAACTCCGGTGTTTCACAAGCTGGCGCAAACATAATATAAGTTACACAATAATTATTGATTATGCGTATATTAACCTATTATATGTATCTTGCAATTCATTGTAATTCCACTTTAAGTTCCACCGCTGAAACCATAAACCTCCGCGAAGTGGAACCATCCATGCGGGAGAAATCACTGCACGGAGGGTTGACTGTGTGAGACCATACATTCATCCTCTGTTTTAAACAACACAAGGAAAGCTGTTGCTCCATTTTATTTACGTTGTAACGGTCGGTTTCAACCTGTAATTTTTTTTTTAAATCATAAACCATTATGTCAGACACTTGGAGCAACATCCAGGCGCACAAGAAGCAGCTTGACTCTCTGCGAGAACGACTTCAGCGACGGAGGAAAGACCCAGGGCAACTCAGCGCAGGTAAAGACTTCATTCAACTAGCGTTAAATATCTTCCATGCCTGAAGTTATTTACGCGTTAGCTATAGTTTAAAAAACATAGAATTGTTATTTGGCTGCACTGTGTTGCTCTATATTGGGGCGCATTTGCCTTCTGACTGTAGCTACATAACCGGTTCAGCTTACTCCAACTAATTCATTTAGTTAACTTGCTGATATTAGTATTTGGTTAAAAAACAATATCTATATACCCTATTAAAAGTATGCATCATTGCAGATGCTACCTGCAGCACAGATGCCTCCACAGCGCGCAGCGACAGTCCGGCTCCTCTTGCTGTGGTTCCATCTCAAAAGCAGCCTGAAAAGCCCCCAGACCCGGAGTTGGAGAAAAAATTGCTGGCATACCTGTCAGATCTTGGTCTATCTTTGCCAATCGACTCCCTTGCAATAACAAATGAGCTGAAAAATGTATGTGGTGCATTCAGTGTGTTGTATACTAACTGTAATTTCCTTTATAACTTGTATATTTTTCTTTTGGGCAGTCAGAAGGAACTGTAAGTCATGGGTGTATCCAAAGTCTGCTGCAAAAATTCGCTGCTCAGGAGCTTATTGAAGTTCGACAACCATCTTTGACTTCAGCTGCAGTCTCTGCCTCCACTATTGTTGTCTCAGTGGACCATCCAAAGCTTTGGGCTATGATTGGAACAGGAGGTGTAGCTCAAAGAACAGGAGTGAAGAGAAAAGCAGATGATCAATCACATCTTAAAAGACCTCCAGGCTTTGCTCCATCCCAGAGCTCTGCATCCCCACCACACTCTTCTTATACACCTCCGATATCTTCTTTGACCCCAGCATCTTCTATACAAGCTACAGGACCCTCATCATCAGGGAGTGGGGCTGATAAGAAAGGGAGGAGCAGCAAAAACCAGTCTTCTCATGTCGACATGGAGATTGAGAGTCTTTTAAATCAACAATCGACAAAAGAGCAGCAGAGTAAGAAGGTGAGACGCTGCAAATCTGTCCCAATTATAAGCATTACAGTGTTTTTAACTTTGCCTAATCTCTATTCAGGTCAGCAGAGAGATCCTTGAGCTCCTTAATACCAGCACTGCAAAGGAACAGTCAATAGTGGAGAAGTTTAGATCTCGTGGTCGAGCTCAAGTCCAGGAGTTTTGTGATCATGGAACAAAAGAAGAGTGCTCACGCTCTGGATATACACCACAGCCCTGCACAAAACTACATTTCCGGTTTGTGGTCTCTACACTTGGTCTTGCATATTTTATTTATTATGAATTTCATTTTTTTTTTTTTACAGTTTATTGTATATGTGTTTATTCTTGTGGTTATCTGAAAATGAACAGTATATATATGCTCAATATTAAAATCTTACATTTTATTTGATCTCAGTCGCATTATCAACAAGCACACTGATGAGAGCCTTGGAGACTGCTCTTTTCTCAACACCTGCTTTCACATGGACACCTGCAAATATGTCCACTATGAGATTGACTGTCCTCCAGAGGCAGAATGCAGTCTGATGGGGCCCCAAGGTGGCGCCACTGAACTCTGTCTTGGTGCAGGTGACGCAGACAGCAACGTGGGCACTCTCTTCCCTTCTCAGGTATGACTTGAGTGTGAACCACTAAAATAGAGTTAAATATTAATTGTTATTTTTAATCATTGCTAGTGGATTTGCTGTGACATTCGCTTCTTGGATGTGGCTATCTTGGGAAAGTTTTCCGTTGTCATGGCTGACCCGCCCTGGGACATCCACATGGAGTTGCCTTATGGCACATTGACTGATGATGAAATGAGAAAGCTTAACATTCCCACTCTGCAGGACGATGGCTTTCTCTTTCTCTGGGTCACTGGCAGGTAACTTCATTTAGGGCTGATTAATAATATTCTTGGGTCTGGATAGTCAAGAGTATAGATTCTAGCTCCTAGCCTTTGGAGCCACGTAATTATGTCGTCAAAGAGCACAAGACTGATAGGAGTTAGACATTCAGCTGCGTTTGGAAAATTCAACCCTCTTAACCACTTACGGAAACCACATTGACATTGTCAATGTAAATAACTAACCTGAGTAACATTTGCTGATATATGTATGTGACTCTACAGTCACAGTTAAAACACTATCCACTTCCAACACAATATGTTCTCCTGCGTAGAATAAATATTCTCCAGACTATATAAATAGAGATTATTTACTTACTTTTGAGACCAAAGCTAATCAGCTCTGTACTGCTTATGCAAATTCTTCTCCATATGGTCTTCTAAATCTGGTGCTTGCAGTGCATGGAAAGATTACATTTTCCTAATATTAATTATGCACATACTGCTATTGGTTAGTAAACTCATGAAACATACAAACTTGATGTTGTTCGGTTTCAGCTTGGAGCACTTTGTAGTTTGGCATATGTGGACCCAGGAACAGGCTTTTAAACATTTACTCATTTGTCAATGTTTATTATTTAGGTATGTTTTTCTCTTACAGAGCAATGGAGTTAGGTCGGGAGTGTCTAAGTCTCTGGGGGTAAGTCATACCTCACTTCTGAGTCCTCCGGTTTTTCGATAAATTTAATCTGAGACAAATTGTTCTGTCTCAGATATGAGCGTGTAGATGAAATTATTTGGGTGAAAACCAACCAACTTCAGAGAATTATCCGTACAGGAAGAACCGGCCATTGGCTGAACCATGGAAAAGAGCATTGTTTGGTAAAGAATATCTTTTTAATGATTTCATCCCATGTTGATAAGTCACATTATCATGATGTATACCTTTATTACTGTAGAAAGGGCATTGAGTGTTGTAAATTTCTAGGTTGGTTTCAAGGGAAACACCCAAGGCTTCAATCGAGGTTTGGATTGTGATGTCATTGTTGCGGAGGTAGTTATTCCTACGTTTTTAATACACATTTCCAACATGCAGATCCAATGCTTGTTGTTCTTTGAATACTCCATAGGTTCGTTCCACCAGTCATAAACCAGACGAGATCTATGGCATGATAGAGAGACTTTCTCCTGGCACCAGAAAGATTGAGTTGTTTGGTCGACCCCACAATGTCCAGCCAAACTGGTGAGTTACTCAAGAGTTTTGTATTTTACCCACGGAACAACTTTACAAATGTTACAATTTCTTTCAGGGTAACCCTTGGAAACCAACTGGATGGCATTCATCTATTAGACCCAGAGGTTGTTGCTCGTTTCAAAAAACGTTATCCAGACGGAGTAATCTCCAAACCCAAGCCTTAACTGAAGTAACAGTGATCATAGTTCTTGAAGATCCATGATGAGGCTACGGACAATTTTCTTTTATAGCAATGACCTTTTTTTAAAATAAATTGTTAACAAAAAGTTATGTTGTTTCTTTAACAATGAAAACAGTTGACAAAATCATGAATGTGAGAATTATTTACAAAATGCATCAAAATTTCATATTTAATGAGTTTAGAAATATATATCAAACAGTAAGTAATATGTACATGTTAGTACAAGCTCTGACTTACTTTTTATGAGAAACATAATTATATTTTTCTTATTTTCCATAATAATGTAAAAAGCACTTTATGGTTTTGGAGACTGCAAACAAGTCCTCATCCTCTCCTGTCTGTAAACGTCCTTTGGAGATGGGGGACAGTCATTGTTGCAACACTTCAGCAGCATCATTCTCGCGTTAGTTTGTTTTGCCACAGTTCAGTAGGTGGCGTCCACAGCATTGATGTTGCTGTCCAGCTGATGCCTGAAGGACAGCCGCGCTTTGGTGGAGAAATATATTTGTGCTCCTCTTGTCAGACTTCCATCACCGTCACTGCCACAGGACGTTGTGGACGATAGCCGGGGCTTAATCTCATCAATTGGAACTGTAGAAAAAAGTAGAGGTTTTTATAACTGTATTTTAGTAGTAGTAGTAGACTAATATTATGACAGTCTGGAGAAAATGATCAAAATTCAAATGGCATCTGTTGTAGGTCTTGGGAGTACAAGCAAACTCTACTCTGACACTGAGGCCTTGTGGTTTTGGCCTCTGATGACTAATTTACTCTAAAGATAACTAAAAAGAACAATCTCTGAAAGCTCAAACTACAAGGTCAGCCTACATTTTCATTGGTAAATATGGTAAACGCTGGGGATAGGGTCTAATTGGGTTTGAACAATTACCCTTTTAGACTCTAGTCAAAATCACTGAAAATTAGATTTAAGGATCTGTAATAAAGCTCCCACGTGGAATACATACACAAGCCATATGAAAATGTATGCACATCTTGTAGACTATTTTGATTCTGATTCATCCCAGAACATTTGATTTGACTGTAAATAATAGGGATACATATTTAAGTTGGCCTTTCACATTCCCAGGAATTCTATGGTTATATTTTATTACACTGACTAGCCAAAAAAAATAAAAATCCAGACGCAGTCGAGGCGGTTCGTTCCTGTTGTAGTGAACGTACCTGCCACTGGGGGGCACTGTCTACTCTTGCACCGCTCCTTGCATCGCCTGTAGAAGGGGAAGCACTGCAACATTTTCACTCCCATGGTAGGAAAGTCTGTAAAAAGAAGACACAACCTCAGTAATCACTTTTATTCCATGGGTTTTGTGTTGTATTTCAATAATATATTCATGTTTTGTTCCAGGCTCCACATAAAACACCTGAATAGTCATCACGTGTATAAACTGAACGTGCAACAGATTAATACTCAGCCATCATCATCATCATCATCATCATGGTTAATCTCTGAGGACACCAAGCGCAGGTACAAATCATTCATTCAAACAGTAATTTGGCCACAAGGATGCTTCAAATCCCAACCCCAAAAGAGTGTTTGGTCACACCATAAAAAAACTAGTAATATCTTAAATGTCACTGAAACATTTTCAGTAATGAACTCCAATTTATTGTATTTTGTAGCCCAAAACCACATGACCACATCAACAATGGCATATAAAGATTGAAGCACAACAAAACAATAGCCAAACAACAAAATAAAAGGCACAACAACCCAGTGTGTAATGGGCCGGAGTTCCAGACAAGACACTTACACTAGTTTTTAGAATCTAATAGTTATCCGGGCAGACACTTATTAGTCACATTGCTATAATTTCTGCTTCTGACTGTTCTGTTTTTCACTACAAGCACATGTGTAAAAAGCATGTGTCAAAAGTGGGTCAGGTAGAATTAGGGCAGGTACTTTCACAGCCTCATATCTCCTCTCACATGTTTAAACATTAGCTGCTGCCTGTTATTGAGTTATGCAAAGAAATGGATAATCATTGTGCTGGTACCACTTGTAATACACATTATTAAAAGAGTTTTAAGTGATAAGTGACGAGGTAGGTTGGATTGTTTACTTCAAGCCAGTGTATATAAAGAGATCAACCTCGAATCAAATTTTACTCTAAAAATAAAATTTTCTAATCCGCTAAACTCTTTTGTTCATTAATCTCAAGAGAGGAGGACTTTGGGTCTCACATAAAAGCTGCATTTTGGACCCCCCTCTCCCTCTTTGCCCAGTCCCCCCTCCGGTCTGTGCATGGGGACGTGACAGCTAACACATACACAGACAGGCCACAGTGTATCGGGTTGCACATGATAAATGCTTGTCAAGTCAACACCCCTTCACCTTTTGTTAAGTCTATTGTGAATATTGGACAGGCCACAATTCAATGTAGCTGTATCATTTTCAACATAAATGTAAAGCAAATCTTGGGCTTATACTCTATAACAACACAACTTATAATAATAATAATAATATATACGTCCATACTATAACTAACCATACTTCAAAACAGCAAATACAGAATTCGGTCCCATTATTGGTGTTGTTAATGTTTTGTGAAGAAGAAACAGGAAGGATATTATGGCGCAACTCCTAGCCTTAGTATCACTGCCCCTCAGAGAAAAATGATAACTTCAAGTGTAATAACTGAGGTGCTGGGTGTAAGTAAAGAGGCCTGGTCAGTGGAGAGGAATTTCAAGCCCAGATGATGTTTGGCTCTGGGGGTCTGAGAGCAGGGAGAAAAACAACCTTGCATGGGCAGAGTCCAGCGCACTAAACCGTGTTAGGACAGTAGTCACAGCCAAAACTGACCACAAACGCTTTAGAAAATGAGCGTAAAAGTGAGCGGTTTTGAGTCTTAACTTGCGTTTAGCCTTGGGAAACAGTTTGAGGCAAACAGTTTGCAATTAAGCTGCGTAACTTGTTCAGGCTGCAGTAGGTTGTGTAAAAGCTGTTGCATGCATTTGAATGTATTTTACGTTAAAGATAAATACGTTCAAAATGTTATGTGCATTTATAACAATAATTGACCATTCATGAATATTCTGAGCAATAGAAATATTACAAGGCATTAAAATCATTCTACCTTGTTTTGTTAAGTACTTTAAGTTGCCTTGTGTATGAACTGCAAAACAGATAAACTTGCCTGGCCTTTCCTGCAATCAAATCCTTGTCACCAGTTCCTGGCTCTAAAACATGCGTGTATTTTTGCCCACATCCTTAGATCCTTAGAAAAAGCGAGGACCACCCTCACTCAGCCAATCAGCGCTAATCCCAATGTGTCAAATAATTCTCTTATTAATTCAATGGACAACATGTTTGTTTGCAAGATTTTACGTTTACAAGATTCTTTCTGTTCGGAAAAGCAATGTGCATGATTTATGGAGAAAAAACTTCAGGTACCCCAGCTTTAAATGGTACATCTATATGACACAATGTACATTTTGACTCGGCCTTTTAAACCTTCTGCATAGCTTGAGTCTTATCAGCTATGCAAACAGCGTCACAGTCCAGCGAAGTACATTGGGCTTACTGTAACGTGATAACAATCTACGCAGCCACTTAACTGCCCCCTTTTCCTGTCTCCCAAAGGTGGGCTTCAGCAGGCACTGGGCGCGGGGTGGGTGTCACAGCCTTCCACACAGAGCCCCACACAAGCATGCCAGCCCCCATGACGCACACTTTCTCAGCTTATTCAGTGCCAAGAAAGCATTTTGCCACAAGTGAGATCATGTTTGCACAGTATAAGCATATTCTCTGATCTCTTGTACTGTTATAGTTTTGGCCTATTTTGACGATTTGTCACATCATCTACTGAATCTCAATGATAGTAAAGGAGGCAAAATATGGAATGACCCAGTATGAAATGGATAAAAAAGCAGTGACACTCATTTACTATAAGACATAATGTGACAAGTTGTTATTTATGTTACAATAAATAGTAGTAGGCTGAAATCTTCAATGGGATAGCTTTGGCAGACAGGATAATCTGAGCTTTCAATTTAGAGCCACACCAATCTCTTATCTCCCCATCTACAAAAATAAACATGATTGGCAAATAACAAGAATTCTCCCAGTACTTTTAGCTGCCTATATGTGTTCTGATGCTTTTCATAAATTGACCTGGTATTGTTTTGTAATATAATACCACAGTAGTTTGTTATTTGACAAGACGTTTATTTTACAACATACCAGAGAATCCATGTTTTTATCTACATGCACCCTCCCACAGCGACACACCCCCAGTTGCAAGCCACACAAATCCCAATGGAAAGCCAGTTAAATTATCTTTCTGTTATGCTTGACTCCATATTAAATTAGAGGTTACTTACCCGTTAAATGCAAATGTAAACTTTCACTCAGGCACTTGTGTCACATGTATTGTTGTCAATGTCCCAGATAGTTGTTTTCTGTCATTTCTTTCTTCCAGGTGCTGTCTTCTCTGTTTTATTCTCTCCAGTGAGTCTGTGCTTATTGGCAGCAGTGAAATGGAAAGGTTTTGTGCGTGGCGCGGAGTGACCCAACTTTAAATAGCAAATCCCTGGAGCATGGTGAGTGGACACACCCCCTGACTCACTCCCCCTCCCTGACTCACTCCCTCACATCATCACTTCCCCCTTCACTGTTTGCCTCCATCACAGATACTTTTTGTGTAAAGACAAAACAATAAACATTGCTATAAATATACAGATTTTCCTTGAAGTCACGACTTGAAGGACAAAAGTCATGCATGTTCTTTCTCAGAATAATTTCTGATACGCTTTTTAAAATGTTTCGAACAAATGTATTCCAATTTAATTACCATTAATACACAAGCAATCTAATCAGATATTTGTTTATTGTTTGTTTACATATATCAGTGTTTTATAGTTTCATTCATTTTGTTGCTTTTATTTTCTAATTGTATAGGTTTTATTTATTTATTCCATACCTCTTTTTGGTATTTATTAATTGATATTTATCTCAATGGATTTTCTTTTTCTATACAGATCTTTTGAAACTGTTCATAAAATTTGCAATATAAATAAAGTGGACTGGATTTTAAAAAAATCTAAAGATCATAATACTGCCAGTATTTCTATTGCCATACTGTATCAAAAAGACCAAACACGAGATCAGAATGACACACGATTTGACAGTGATTATGTTCAGTTAACCCTTTTTGGCTTCCCACAACTTAAAATGCATTTCTGTGGGAGCCATTTTTTTGTGAATATATATATATATATATATTTTTTTTTTCTTAAACAAGATCATCAAGTGTGATATTAGAATAAATCCAACACATCCATCATTCTTACTATTAATACCTTCTAAGACTTGTATGAGAGCCAGACACAATCCTCAAAAGAGCCAATGGTTCCTTCCTGACCAAAGCCCTACATTTTCTTACATCTTCTTCATGCATTATGTTTAACTTCTCTCTCCTCTAAAGTTCCTCTTGTGTTGGTGGAGCTATGAAACCAAGTTCTAGATTCATAAAAACCTCTGCCGCCTAAAGAGCTATGATATACCACTGCAACTTATAATCTATGAGTTATTATTGTCTTCATATTAATTAAAAGTAAAACTATAATGTGATCAAAGTAGTCCATGCCAGTCTATGGCTTTGTTGAGGTGGAAATTTACTCTGAGTGATTTGGCTGCTGAGCGGTCGCCACGGAGACGCTATGTCTCAGGAGCCACGTTTCCTCAGGGGCTGTCGTTGGAACTTAGCAACGTCACTATTTGGTGAATAAAAAATAATATCATATGTTTGTTTCCATGACGAGAGTGACAGCCCAGTGACACATGTACAGCATGCAGTGTATATTGATCAGAAATAACAAAGTCAAAAGATTGAGGGTTATTGTCACAGGCCCTTTGAAGGTTACTGCAGCTCCTAATCTTAAAATGCAGCCACAGGGTTTGATATTTACACTAGAAGCTCTGTCAGATGCAACTTGTTGTAAATTGTTTATTGCTGATTTCCTTTTTTAATCCTTAGTGTTAATACAAGAGTGCTTAGTGTTTTCACACAGTTAAGTGGAGGCTCCTGGCTGTCATCACTCCTCATTCCTCTCCTTTTACGGTGACAGTGCAGTGTCCTCACCAAGAGGTAAAAAAAGCACTCGCTGTTATTTAAGTTAAATCACAAACGTGAGGCTTCACTATGGGTGCCTTGTGCATTTCGATGCAGTGTGGTAATTCAATCCAAAAGTGCCTCTGCTCCACTGGCCCAGAGACGGGAATAGACCGGACAGAAATGGAAAAAGAGGGTCACACGTGTGGGATGCGACATATCCACGTTAGAAATAGATTACTGCATCTGTTGGCGGTTATTTAGAAACCTTTATATTGTATCGCCTATAAGGTCTAGAATCATATCAATTCATATTCAAGTTAATTGTATATAATTCTGTATAGCTCTTGTGATCATTGATTTGTTAGAGTCAAACCTTTGAAGCTAAGCAGGACAGGGCCTGGTTAGTACTTTGATGGGAGACCTCTGGAAAACTAGGTGCTACAGCTGTCGCTGTGTCCTTAGGTAAAGCACTTCATCCATATTTCCACCCTTGCTTCTGTCAGGATGCCCCAGGGCAGCTGTGGCTACAGCTACAGAAACTTATCACCCCTGTGTAAGCAAAGGAAGGTTTCTCACCCATCATCTGTACTTCTTAGCAAGTAGGGAAAACTTGCTAAGAAGTACAGATGATGGGTGAGAAACCTTCCTTTGCTTTGACTAATCCCTGTACGACTGAGGGCTTACACAAACTCACCCCTGTGTATTTAAGTGAAATTCCAAGTGAAGCGATTGAGTGTCCAAAAAGTGCTCTACAAAACGTATTCATTATTATTATTATTATTATTGATTAAATAATCATTGGCATTGACCATGACCAAATTTGTTAATGTATAAGACGTTTAAATAATCATTGAGATCCATTGATTGTTGCATTATTGAGAGAGAAGAAAACAGATGTTTTTTTTCCCCACAAAACTAAATCACATGCCATATAATGCAACCTGTACTTCAAATCAACAAGTACATTCACTGATTTAAAACTGCTCCCAATAAAACTTTTTCTAGGATCCGGCCAGTCTGAGCTCCGGTCTCTCCCCTCCTCGGAGCTCTAAATGTTCCCACTGCCATTGTTGATGTTTTTGTTGACACTGGCTCGCTACTTTGAGTATGGGGTCACTTAAGGCTGTCGCTGTCGCTCCACCCTGAGTGGTTCTTTATTTCACTGAAACAAGCTGGATGTTGTAAAGAACAGCTTTGCTCGTGTTCATGGAAAAGTGCCATAAAGGAAATGGGAAACGGGCAAATTCTTGAGTGGTGCTTCTGAGAAAAATAATAGCTGAGAATGCATTATTGAAGTTGTAAAATGGATTTAATATAACACTGCCTAAACCAATTCATTAACTATTTTTCCAATGTACAAAGCATTGAACTAGCAATGTTTGTGATTTAAACACCAAACCAGGTTGTTCACTACCTCGCTATATGGAATTGTATTGAAAAAAATGAATGATTTACGTGGATAAAATAAGTAGCCTGATGCCATATTTTGAACCCCCTTCTCTCCAGGCTGTGACTAAGTGTTTGTATGTGGCTGTTTGGCCTGAACCTGGTACAGTGTGGTTGGGATAATTACACAGCGGTGGACTTACTCTCAGCTGACATATCACTTTGGGCTGTCTGAGGTGAAATATCTGTTTATCTACTGGATGCAAAAGGATTTTTACATGACACTGCATTTGTGGATAAACTATAGCTCTTTAGTATGTGATATGGTGCAATAAGAAATATTGTAGCATTTCATATACATATTTGCTTGTATATTGTTTGTCAGAGAGCCTCTAAAAGCTGGACCTGTCAATTGCCATTACCTGTAAATCTACAATGTTTTATTGGATTTGTGTGAAAACCCTATACACAGAGTTGCAGTTTAATCCACCACACAGGAATTGAAAGAGTATGGAACAACTGGAAATGGCCATTTGAGGCCAAGCTGAAAGGTGGATGGAGCATGATACAAGAGAATCTGGAAGAAAATACTTTACCTTATATCAGGACAGTTTCCCTGAACAAATATTTTTATTTGTGTAAAAGAAATTAAAGTAATGTATCAGTTTGTTTAAACCTCACAGTTGTCTTGTCGCTTTTTGTTGGTCTTTGACAAAAATGACTGAAATATCTTTATGTTTGCAGCTGTACCGAGACACAGTGAGTTAAGGTTCATGGGGTATGAATGCTTTATCAAAGCACAGTATATACAATAGATATACATAAATAAATGTCTCTCTATATAAATAAACATCTATATTTAACTTATGGCAGCCCTGCAGTTGTCCACTAATCGAAAGTTAGGTAACTATTACTGCGAATGTGCTCTTGGCAACAAAAGATTATGGGATTAACCTGAAGCCAACGTGTACATGGTCCGCTCTAGTTTGAGACGCTGCAGTGAGTACACACGGCCGACAGGGGGCGTTGCCTCAGACGGGTACAATCCTGTTAGAGCTGCTGTCTGGCTCCAGGCTCAGCCTGAGGTCAGTGATTGACAGCATTACTCACTGTGCCTAAAGGATAATCAGGGTTAGTGAATGACACTGCAGAAGGAAAGTGTTTGAGAGTGTGTTTGTCCAAAAACAAAATGTGCAAGGAGGAACAGAATAGTTTATTACACTTTCGGATATGAGCTGAAATTAATTAACAAGACACTGAATGAATGCTGATTTGAACAAAGATAACAGTAAGGGCTAATGTTGTATTAGTGTACACTATTTAACGCCTACAAAAACTGGTGGTTGTTTTCTAACCACGTCACATGAGAAATATGACTAAAACTATGTAGAATGTACTTACTACTTATATTTTAGAAGCCCTTTAGGTCAAGGAATACAAAATATGTAAAACTGAACTGAAATGTAAAATTCACAAAATACACTTTCCTCCATCGTTACAATCCACAGAAACTACTTTTTGATGTTAATGTAAAAGACTCTTGTCATCTTCGTCTGATATTTCTTTGTTCAGAGTCCACTTTAATCCTGCAATGGAACAAAGTCACATGTTACTTTATGATTGAACAGAGTCAATTGCTGACAGTGCTGTTAATGGATCAACCTTCTGTTAATAGATCCCGTGGCCAGAATCACTTTTAGCTCATCACTATTAAACATTCACCCGTGTCAAAACTCTAGTCTTTTAATCTACAACCTCAAAAGTTTTTGTCCCCGACGACTGTTTTGGTGCATATGTAACATCGCCCCTTATTACTCTATAGGATGCTCCATTGTGCCTTACATTATGCGGTGACTGAATGGGCCCACTCACCGTCAGCCCTGTAAAAACATCTGCCCACTTCCCTGCATTTACAGTATCAACACTAGATCAAAACTTCTTCCCCTTCCGGTTTCGCAAGAACAACTAATGTTCTCAAATCTCTCTCTGAACAGGTCCAATCGCTCCAAAGTGAAAAATGCCTGCCCTTATTCATTCTATAAGGCGTATTCAATTCAATATATTTTTGTATAGCCCTAAATCACAACAGCAGTCGTCTTGGAGGTCTTTACAAACATGTTGATTCGCGAATACAAATCAGAGAATTGAATAGTTCAACACAGGAAATGCAATAATACGGTAATATCAAACAGGAGCCATTGGTCTATAGGAAGCAGGAAATTGAATGACTTTTATAGTGTGCAATGTAGATGATAAACTACAACTAAATGTTTTCATCTTTTGGGTAAATTTAATTCACTTTAATAAAACGAGGGTTACGTAATTTTAAATCATATAATAATGTTTTTTCTAAGAGAAAGTCTTGTAATAGTAGTATTTTGTGTAAAAAGTAGAAACCATGAGATCTTTTGCATACTTGTAGGAGCCTTTTGAGTCACTATTTGACACTTTGGACAGAGAGTTGATCCTCCTCTCTATTCCACCTTTCTGTCTAAAAAGGCTGTTCTAAAGATACGACAGAAGTCAAAAATACATGTGAAAACTAGTGATAGTGCAAAAATATGTTTTATAGCTAAAGATGGATTTTTATTACATCAGTTCTGTGTGGTGTTATGTGATGCAACTTTTTAATTTTTTTCCCCCCAAACAAATAACGATAGATGAACAATGACTTGATGCATGTTTGTTAGCGTGTGGATTGAAATTTGTCCCTGACCTCGTTGCTGTCTCTGCAGTCCCCACAGATGCAGCCTATGCAGCCGTTTATGGTCTGGATGCCACAGAGCACCGTCTGCAGAGATCCCATTGCCAGCAGGATGGAGAACAGGACCACGTGCCACATCACAATGTTTTCGGGGTACTCACATTCATCCCATGAGTCCTGGTTCACAAGGTAGCTCTCATTTCCCCTGTGATGGTCAAGACATGTACAGTTAATGATAGCACAAATACAGAGCTGGTATAGTTGTCATTCTATCCACTCAATTCAATGTATTCTATTCAATTCAATTTATTACCAAACTGTTGAATTCACCAACACAGGTCAGAGAATCAAACAGTTCAAACACGGTCTCCCCACTTTAACTCAGCAGAGCTTTTGGAAGATGTAAATGTGTATGTTCAGAAAGAGTCAGTGTTATTATTATTATTATTGTTATGTGTCAAGTTTCAACTCCAATATTATCTTAACCATTTAAGTTAAAAATGTTTTATTACATTTAGCAATATTTATTTATTTAGTAGTTGTTTATCTCATGTATTTAAGATAATCTTCATTTGTTAGTCAACACTTCCCCCTGGTGGGCTGTATTTGAACTGCACCCTGTTTTACTTCAGCGTTGCTACCTGAGACCGTAGTAATACTCACGTTCCAGTTTTTTCAAAAGGGTAGCCCCACTTTTTAGTAGTCGCGATCAAACACTTTGGACCAATGGCCAAGCCTGCTGAGCTCACACTCACGCAGTAGATGGCTCCCACCAGGCCAAAAGCCGAGGAGAACACAGAGCTGAGCATCTGCAAGTTTAGAGGTCTCATTCAACCAATGAAATCTTTACGTCAGGAACCAAATAATGTTAATTTACTCACACGGCAACGGTTTCCACAGCAACCTGTCCCACAGCAACCTTTGCCCCCGGCTCGGATCGCAGAGCAGCTTGGACAGAGCATCTGAAAGAGAAAAGTAAACATTATTAATGACGGTGTGATAACCACCAGGACGCCATTATGACCACACAGTTCTCATTATCAATTACATTCATGTATATATTTGTATGTGCTTTTTCATCATTTCAGCTCTCGTCTTTCATTTCCTCATTTCTTAAACAAATATTTGTGGATTCCATCATTAACAGCTCAAACTTCCTGTTGGCAAGAGTGATAAGACCACTGAACTCTGATCATGTGTGTGACACGCCTAGATGATCTGCTCATGGATTATATATACCTAATTTTATTATTCTATTCCAACCGTCAACTCATGTCTATCAATAGATATCTTATGTATGACCATTAAAATCGTTGTTCTCTTCTCAGTTTTCAGAAAGAAACAGTAAATGTATGTAATTTATGTCCTTTATTTCGAAATATTAAACAAATCAAGTAGTTTTTTAGTTTAGTTTTAGTCCACACACACACACATACAATTTGAATTACTTAAATAGTTGTATCAGTATTGACAATCTTATCATTGTGTTACGGTTTACTCACAAAAAGTCCACCTCCAAGCAGTCCTCCCATGAGCCAGACTTGCAGTGAGACCTGATCAGTGTCCAGCGACTGTCCATCGGGGAAGAATAGCAGCAGATTGGAGATGATACAAATGAAAGCTGAAGGCAGAAGAATCAGCCCCACGAGACGCGCACACTTCCCAGTACAACACATTGTGCTTTTCCCTCCTCACGCTCCAAACGGCTGCTTTTAAGGTTTGATGATCAGTGAGGAGTGGTGCTGATAATACAGCTGTGAGTCCTACTTTAACACCCGGAAACAAAAAAAGCTTCTATCAGGAAGGAAGCACGGACAACGGCCAAATAACTAATTGCAATAGTAGGAGATATTAACCATTATTACTGCTAAATCACCATCATTAGAATTAAAATCTCCCAATCGCATCGAAGAACAAAATCTGTTCATTTACCCACTGGAGGTCTCTGTCACAGAGGTAAATGCCCTTTGATTCTTACTGATAATGAGCTGCCTTTATCTCTAACAGCAAACAGTTGATTTAGTGTTTTCATAGAGAAACCATATAATAGTATAGCATAGATTATAGTATAGAGAATCATAGAGTAACCATATGAAACAATGTTGTGAATCCCCAGTGGTTGTGTATCGATTTAAAAAAATATTTCTGTAGCAAAAAATCCTCTGACCTGATTGAGCAAAACCAAGGTCATTTTCGGACTCAGAGCATCAAAATTAGTCTAATTCAGCTGGAAAACCCTGGACTATTCAAAAAATATTAGTCCATTTCTCCCCATTCAAATTAACTATGTTTTTATTAGGTGAAGGAAATGAGTTCGGCTCGATCTTAACTTGTAAACAGAACTCATCTTTCTTCTGTTCTGGAAGGTAAGTGTTTTTTATTGCAGAAATGTAGCTGTAATAAATCATAAATAAATCAAAAATTGTTCTTCATTTTAGTGGTTTTGGGTGTCATTACCTTCACCTCCACAAGGGGCAGTGTCAGTCTGACCCTTACCTGGATGGATGCCGCATTTATAAACCCATTCAAAACAGAGTGAGTGGTAGTAGTAGGTAGTATTTAGTAGTATTCAGTAGGTGGTGATAGTAGAAATGGTAGTAGAAGTAGTAATAGCAGTAGTAGTGGTAGCAGTAGCAGCAGCAGTAGCAGTAGCAGCAGCAGTAGCAGTAGTAGAGATAGTAAGTAAGACAGTAGTAGCAGGAGTAGTACTAGTAATTATAGTAGTGTAGTTGTAACACTAGCAATAGTAGTAATAGCTACACTAGCAATAGTAGTAATAGTAGTAGTAGTAGTATAGTAGTAGCAGTAGTAGTAGTAGTAGTAGTAGTATGATATATAGATTTTTACATTTGCATGCAGAGTGAGTGCTGGATGGTCGAAAATGTCCCAGAGTCTTCACAAGATGAAATGTTTGGATCTGACAGTCGGTGTTTCGTTTCCAGTCTCAGTTCGCAGGTCTGTGTTTGTATATTATTTTTTCCGTTATATGTTCATTGAAAGAAAAAAAAGAAGAATTGTAAGAAGTTTTATTGGTTCCAGGGTGGCGTGCTGAACACCTCCACAGTGGGGCGCTGTTACAGACACCGATGTACTGGACTTAACCAGTACCAGGTAAAAGTGCGTGATTCTGACTGGGTGAACTGTCCAGCAGGAGGCACTGTTCAGGTACAAATAGACGGAATTAAAGCTGGGGTACCCAACTCCACTCCCACATGTACAAATAGTCTTCTAAAGGAACATTATCAAGAAAAACTCAACCACAACCTGATCTCTGCATCTTATTAGAAAATATATCATCTTTTGCATATAATCAAAATCCCTGTGAGTCACTATTTGACACTTTGGGCTGAGAGTTGGGAGCTCCTTTGTTATTTCCACGTTTCTGTTGAAGCTCATCTAAATATGTGACAGGGACCAAAAAAAACTAGTGTTGGAACCACAGCAAGGTTCTGGTTAAATGGGTGTTAATACACCGTTCTGTTTTGTGGTTTGAAATTAGGTACCCCAGCTTTAAATAGTCTATGTTGGCAAAAAATGTGTTATTGTTTTTGTTTTGTTGCTACTTTCAGATCGAAGGATATGCGGGTTCTGTTTGGTGTCCTGACAGGCGACTGTGTGTGCCCAATGTATCTATCCAGTCTCACATTTTAGGGTATATTATAAAACTAATAAATCTCCAGATATACATATTTCTTCTGTGCTATTTTTGCCATTTTATTTATTCATTTATTTTCTTATTTATTTATTTGTTCATTTATTATTATTATTTGATTTATTATTTGTTTATTATTTATTTATTATTGTTGTTATTTATTTATTATTGTTATTATTATTAATTAATTTATTTACAGTGATTACAGCAAATCCCAGCAGCCTATTGTCGTGGGGTCGATATGGAGGAGCCCTGCGCTGCTCTCAGCTCTGGTGCTGTTGGCTCCTCTCTTCCTCCTGCTCCTCCTGCTCCTCCTGCTCCTCCTGGTCAATGTCTCTGTCTCCTGTCGCTGCTGCAAGGTCAGGGTTCACAGCCTCCAACAAGAACAACACATGCATCCGACACGTGCATAAGAAAGCAGCGTCTGATTTGCTTCACAAGAATTTTTAATCACATTCATTCAAACGTCACACAACAATTTTATGTATGTTATAAACCACGTCAAGACCAAGTCCTCATGGGGTGTCAAAAATGTGTCATTATTATATCAACAATGTTATCCCAATATTATTTTTGTTTTTTGTTGGAGTTGAAAATTATATATATTGTACTATGGCCTCAATGTACGTTGGCTATAAGTAAGTAAGTAATATTTATTTATATAGCTCCTTTCACAGACCAGAGTCACAAAGAGCTTAGCATTTGTTGTGGGCATTTATCCTCTCACATATGCATAAGCCGGGTCTATTGTACATGTTTTTCGTGGTAGGGGAAACTGTAGCACCCGGAGGAAACCATAGCACTTGGAGGAAACTTATGCATACACAGGGAGAACATGCAAACATCGGCGTCTGTTGGTGGAATTTAACCCAGGATCTTCTTGCTGTGAAGCTCAAGCACAATATTGGCGTTATAATAGAATAAGTAATAATCAGCCACTATTTGTATCGTAATGATCTGTTTTATTGTTCCCTGTGTGGTGTTGTAACAATGTTCCTTTTACATTCTATTTTTATTTTACTTTCCGATAAAATCTATTTCTGTCTATGTGCCGTGAGTTGGCAATTTCTCGGTCTATTTAGTTTTCCCTTATCTGAAACCAAATCAGAATTCTTTTTATAGTGCCATTGTGAAAAACAGGAAGTCACAAACAAGGAAATAGCTTTTTCTTTTGATGTAAACAAGTTTTAAAAGTAATAATAGAATAAGACACGCAGAAAAATAAACACAACATCTTCATAACATTTCTTAAAATTACTTCTGTTTTCTAAGTACAAAGGCTTATGAGGTCTGCCGAGGGGCTACTCCACTTAAGCATAATTCATAATAATTTTGACATTCAGGAAATAACTTCAAACACACGAAACAGAACTTCACCTTGCATCGCTTACAAACTAGAAACTTACAGTTCTGTCCACTGTGCTCCAGCAGGAAGCCACACGCAGGACAGGCTCGAATGCACGGACAGCCTTTAACCCCTGCTACACGCTTAAAGTTCCTTATGGGGCAGTTTTCCAGAATGCGCTGTTTCTCATAGCAGCAGTCGTCGTTTTCACAGTGATATGAAGCCGGTGCAGGGCCTTTCCATTTCTTCAAACACTGCCAGCAGAATATAAAGGGCTGAGAGTTGGTCGAGCATTTGGGACATATCACACAGAGGTCGTTGGGATCTTCTCTCACGACGCGACACTTGCAGCCAGGACACTACGATACAAACAACAATCAAACAAACTGTAGTCCATAATATTTCATTGTATGGGGGACCAAAACTGCCACAATATTAAATGAATAAATGTCTACATTGGCAAATAATGATTAAGATATCCCAAACACATTATGCCATTGTTATGGGCTCAAAAAAATAAAGCCTTTTTTTTCTGTGTATATTATTTATTATGTTATTTCCTTACGCTAATGATTCATTTTTGTTTAAATTATTTGATAAGAGAATCTTCATTTGTCCCACAGAGGGGATATGTCGTATTGCAGAAAAAGAGACAGAGAGAGAGAGAGAGAGAGATGGTGAACATCTGGGAACACCAAGGTCTAAATGTGAAACTCCTCCAAAGGTGATGGAGAATGATAAAATACACATTATCTACTATATTATATCATATGCATATTCAACTCAGAATTTGTAGTGACAACTTAATCCTTATTTACCAAAGTGGACATTTATTTTTTTATTCATCCATATATATATATATATATTTAGCAGTTTTGGTCCTCCATCTCAGTGCCACTATATTGAAGAAAAACGGCTCACAGATTTGACGTCCTGAGTGACGTTGATTGAATTCCTAAAAAGCTTATTCTCAAAGTACGTGTTTTCTTCTTGTGTCAAAAGAGCCATTTTACAAACTTCTTCATAGGTCCACTCAGCGTCACAGTTCGGGAGACCGCACACAAACTTCATCGACCCCTGTGGTAAAACACAATACTCAGTCTTTAGTCTCTTCTGCCTTTAGTTCTTTTTCAGTTTTCGTTTTTAAGACGTTCAGACCTCATCCAGCTGCCTCCGACACCATACTGTGAGGGACGTTGGAGTTACAGTGTGGCCGCAGGACATCCGTGCTCTCAGAGACGTGTAACCAATGCATAGAACTGCGATAGATATACAATATGAATACTTTCTATAAGATAATATAAGATAGAATCACGCAAAAAATATAGTTTGTTCAGGATACATTATGTACAATAAAAAGTGGCAATTATTACTTTTATTGAAACTATTTATAGGCAATCAATCTCATCTCACAGTGTCATATGTTTACTCTTCTGTTTGTTTTATTTCTATACTTTTATCTATTTTATGTGCCTGTCTTGTGCACACTGGGGACTTTTACAAATGTATTCCAATGTGGTTTTACTGCAAATGGCGAATAAATGAATCTGAATTAAAAAAAAACAGTGGCAATAGTAGTGCAGGTTTTGAGTTCTAGTGCAAGTGACTTAAAGTGACTCAGTGGTGGGGATAAATATATTAATAATGAGGGGGTGTCTCTCACAGTCCATTTCATCATCTCCTTCAACAAATGTCAGCGGGTCTGTAGGATTATAACATTTTTCAGTTGCTTCTGGTTGTTTTTCCTCATTCCACCAGTGAGTCTGCTGAGCCTGGGGTCCTGTGAATGCAGAGAGAGCAGCGTGTTACCATCATCTCCTTCCCCTATAGTTGTATGAAACGTAATGTAATGTAATTTAATGAGACGTTTCTATCTCTGCAAGAAACACAATGATTTTGGTATGAATTATACCATGGGACACAAGCGATTACCTAGGCAGACACAGGGAGAACATGCAAACTCCACACAGAAATGCCTCTATTGTTTAAGATTATAGAGATTACAATAATAAAATCAGATAATAAACTTTGGAGCTATAATTCCTCTTGTTTATTCTCTTATTATTTTATCCAGGGCTTCCCACCAATCTTTACATTTGTCTTACATAAATTCATTTTATAATTTTTTTTTTTGTCATGATTTTAGTGTTCTTCTATCTCTTAGGAGGTTTCAGGTCATGTCTGTTCACATTTCTCTGAGAAATTCCTGCATGATTCTACTTTCCTCAATCAAATATTAAATCTTATAAATCTTCCACAAAAATATGTAGTCCTGGAAACACCAAGCTGAATGTCCAGTAAACGCTCACGTGACTGCCGGGTTCCCATTTGACGTTATCTGTCACCAAACAAGATTGCACAAGGGATCTCAGTGAAAGGTATTGAACACGACAGAACTCGCCGCGTCTCCGCTCGCAATGGGAGTCCAGCTGATTGTGTGTTTGCCCGATTCTGACGAGAAACTCATAAATGTGTGCGACAAAGAAGACGAGCTGAAAAAGATCACAGTTTTAGACCTCAAAAGGAAAATCATTCAGCAGCTGAGTATCCGTAAGTTCCATCCCTTCTATTGACTGCTACAGTTAGATATAGTCATCAAGATACTTTTACAAGGCACTTTCATTGTATTTATATTTTATAGGTTGTGTGTCTGGGTTTTTATGTATTCCCACTGGTGTTCTGTCTGTAAATGAAATTCCTCACCGATAAATAAAGTTATTTGAATTGAATTAAGACACACATTAGTGATCAATCCTTTGAAATTTCAGATTTGCTTTTTTATAACTCGAAACTTAACAATACTAATGATCAAAACTCAGCACATTTATAGATAGAAATGTACAAGTAAAATTCAATTACAGCTAATTTGAATGACATACTACTACTACTACTACTACTACTACTGCTACTAATAATAATAATACAAATTCATGTCCTGAATTCTGTGTTTAGAAAACGATATTCGACTGACCTTTCACGGCGAAACACTCAACGAAACTCAACCCCTGAAAGAGTACGGCATCCGTCATCTGTCCACCATCCACACACTCCTCATTCTCCACGGAGGCATCTGAGAGACGGAGGACGACCGTTTTAAGATTTAATAAAACAAAAAAAACTAAAACACTTTTGCAATTATTGTATAGAGTCACCTACAGAATAATCCTGAGAGAAGAAACTAGTGCTTTGCTTCCTGTATTGTCCGAACTGGTTTGTCTTCCGCATACAAACTCACTGGAATTTTTTTGAAACCAGTTACTCCACATTCTTGGATAAACCCTCCATTCTTTACTTATTGAACTTAAGACACATAGCTTCAGATGTCAGCTCAAACCGCGTAAGTATGTGCCACACTATTGTTGTTATGATGATTATTATTTTTAATAATATTTTTAATTAATTGCTTGTTTACAGATCAACACACGACGTTGGGAGAATAACAACAATTGCTCAAAATGGGGAAAGCAGATTCAAATAAAGAGCCAAAAAGTAAGTGCAGTTGTTTGATGGAAGATTGGTGACGAATGATAGATAGATAGATAGAAAACAAGGAACAGGATACATAAGATTTGGTGGTAACACTTTAGATTAGCCGTCACTAATTAACAGCTAATTAAGCGATAATTTATACTAACCCTAACCCACATGGGAAAGTATCAGTTAGTTTGATGGCCATTTATTGTTGGTATTTTATTTTTATTTTTTGTTTTACTGTTGTTTTAAGCACACATCAAACTGGTTTCTTTTATCTCTGATACCTTTTAAAGAAAATGTGCCATATTTAAAGTGGATTTGATGTAGAATAAAAAGTAGAAAAGGGCCTAAATAATACCAATTTAAGTAACAATAAATTATACACGGATTAGCAGTTAATGAATGAGGGGGAAATTACAGTGTGACTGATTTATTTTCCTCCTTTTTCTGTTTGCTCATGCTGCACAAATGTAAATACAATGTAAAAAATAAGTGTATTAAGATGACTTGGACAAAGATTTGTTGTTAGTTATTTTAAATGCTCAGTTGATAATGGTGTATTTCTGATTCCCAGCTCCACACGGCCTCTACAACCAGGGAGCGACCTGTTACCTCAACAGCATCCTACAGCTGCTGTTTATGACTCCAAACTTTTATGAAAGGTTTGTGCATATCTTTTTTAAATATAGACACTTTGTTATGTCCCAAAAGTTACAGTTGGTGGATAGATATTAATTTAATTTTGAAGTGTATTTTGAAAACTTTTATACAGGTTCAATGATGTTACAATTTGAACACAATAAAAAAAAAGTAATAATTCAACAGCCACATCAAATCAGTTACATAAGCAGCGTTTTATCATCTGAAAGAAATTTTAGCACTTAGAATAAGTGTGTGTAAACAGTTATTATTGCATAGTTGCCATTGTTTTAATGGTATATAACAGTCAAGTTTTGTTTTTCTTTAAACGTTCAACTGAAGGACCTGAAACATGATCAGCTGCTGTCTGTTTGTCCTGTTTTTGCCGTTGTGTTTTCCAGAAAAATTAAAGGGCATATTTTTCCACAAAAAAAACAAAAAACGTTTATACAAAGAGAAAAGAACATTTCTTCATAATGATGTGCATTTTTGTTTATGTATGTTCACTTGTTGAAGGTTGAGCTCAAACAGGAAGAGAGACCTGGAATTAAAGGCACTCTTTGATTCTCTGAAGCAGGGACCGTGTCGGACAGACAATCTCACAAAGCACTTTCACATCAATGACGGTAAGAAACAACAGAATGTGACACTGATGGGCATCATTCGTCTTTTTATTCATAGGGTGATGACAAGCTTATGAAATCATTTTTGGACTTCTCTTCTGTCACATTCTTAAGAACTGGAATTGTGTCCTCGTCCTGGAATACTGGATAACTTGTATGACGTTTATATTTCACCACAGTGAGATGGCAATACATTAGCCAAAAACAGAAAACAACCATTAGAAAAAATATTTGAAAGGCTTAGAATTTTTCCAGCCTGGTCTTACCACGCCATCACGGTGGCTGAGTGGATAGCACTCTCGCCTCTCAGCAAGAAGGTCCTAGGTTCGAATCTCTGGGTCTTTCTGAGTGGAGTTTGCATTTTCTCCCCGTGCTTGAGTAGGTTTCCTTTGGGTACTCTGGTTTCCCCTACCACTAAAAACATGCACACTTGGTTAAATCCTCCAGCTCCGGTAGTCCTGACCAAGCCGAGCATCAACAACAACATCAACTTCGTATGTAGGAAACGATAATTGACCAGAGTTTACAGATGACTAAGGCCGGGCTAGAATTTTCCCTTTACCAAATAGTTCTGTGACCCTTCTGCCAGTTATCTCAGACATAAGGACATTTATGGACATTGGTCATCTGCCCCTTAGGTCCAATGGCTCCTATGTGTTTGCTGTTATCATTCCATTTCCTGTGTTTCGAACTGCTGTTGAAGAATCGACAACTTTGTAAAGTCTTCTGTTTTTATTTTGGGGCGAGACAAACATAAATTGAATAGACTTGGAATGTTCTAGATGTATTTCAGTGCCCTACAAATACAGATTCAAATGTACTCAATTGTAGTTAGAGGAAAATAACTTAAAAACATTAAATTACAACAGAGAAATGGGAACTATTAGTTTGTAGATAAAGAAGAAATACTGTAACGCAACTTACAAAGTGAAACTAACATACACTTCCTTACCGTACTTAGAAGCGTGGTTAACCACATTTAATTAAATCACTGGAACTTGATCCCGGTTGACTTCAAACCTGTTTTTCAGTAATGTTGCCGTCTACAAACAACAAGTCATTTTAATGTGAGGAGAAGAAACGACATTTGGATTTAAACAACATAAAAAGTCGACCCTCTCCTCATGACTTTGGACACATACAGTAAAAGATCATTTCATTTTACTACTGCAAGTTAGTTAGTTTAGTTCAGTAATTTTTATCGTTGTCAAAATACTTCACCCACATTGCCTCGAATGGGTCTGGTGTGTGTGTGAATGGTTGGTGGTGGTCGGAGGGGCCGATGGCACATACTGGTTGCCTCGCATCCGTCAGGGCAGCTGTGGCTCCAGGATGTGAAGCATCTTTGAGTCTCCAGAAAAGCGCTGTAGAAAATTGATGCATTATTATTATAATTATTAATATTAATTACCATCTACACTCCGCAATTTCTTTTTGGATTAAATTTGTGCAAGTCAAAATACAATATGACAATTTCATTTGATTTGCAAGATTGAGCCTATCTTTGCTAAAAAATAAGCCCTAAATATGACTCAGTCCACGCAAAAGGAAATATATCGAGCCTTTATGTGTTGATAATTGTGGCTGACAGCTCGTAAAAATACTAATAAAATATCTCATAAAGATTTTGAATAAGAACTCTAAGCCATAATCATCAACATTTCAATTGTCTCTTCCCTTTTAATGAGTCTATATCATATTGGTTTCACATTTTAGGGTGAATTTCATAAATGAATGACCTTTGTAGCAATAATCTAACGTCACCTTTAATTGTAAACATTTGAATAGTAAAAGGTTGGTTAGACTACTGCAATGGCCTGCTCACAGGTCTGTCCAAACAGGCTGTAAAACAGCTGCAGTACATTCAAAATGCAGCAGCTCGAGTCCTGACAAGAACCAGGAAGTACGACCACATTAGTCCGGTCCTCAGGTCTCTGCACTGGCTTCCTGTGGCTCAGAGAATAGACTTTATAACAGCTCTGCTTGTGTACAAGTCTCTCCATGGCCTCGCACCAAAATTTACTAGTGACATTTTAGTCCCATATGAACCAGCCCGGACTCTAACCGCCGCTTTTCCACAGTATCAGTACGATACGGCTTGACACTATACGTTACGGCACGGTCCAGTGCGCGTGCATTTCCATCAAAAATAGTACCTCCTAGTGTGTCCTCAGCGTTGTCAGACCATGTCATTTACACGTGACGTGTAACTAGTAACGTTGGTGCATTCATGGATTTATTATAATATCGGTGATAGCTGGTTATTACCCCCCGAGCTGACTCTGCTTACCCCCTGCAGAACTGGCCCCTAAAACCTTTTCAGGACGCTGGGCGAGTGACAGACGAAAAGCAAGTGTTTGTTGAAAATGCTTATGTCTTAAAAGAATGACACAGAACATGTGAAGTCAATGGTGCTTGTCACTCCCGGATTCGTCCTGGAAACCGGATTCGTCCGGAAGTTCAGTTTGATCCATTGATCATACGCAGCAGTAGATTACGTTACGGAATCTGGGCGGAAGGGGAAGTAAATATAACAAACTACCTATTAGCCTAAACTTAACCAGCCATTCCCATAAAATAACCCCAACCCACCCTTAACCCTAACCTTAACCATCTTAGCCTGGTTGTACCCCACCTTAGTACAAATTACATTTCATACTAAGATAAATTTCAGAGTGCTTACAAAGTTAGCTTGTTGTAGACTAATACAAGGATTTATCAAAGGTTAATGCAAACAGAGAGCAAAGGGGCTCACCGGATACTGATTTAGACTTGCCACAATCCTTTATAAATGAATAAACACAGTCTTGGGATACAATCACAGATTGATTAAAAACAAAAGTAAAGTGCAAAACCAACAGTTTACAAAGTCCAAAGTACGTATGTCTGAGAGCAGGTCCAGATGAGGAGAATGTTAAGTCCGGTCACTCATTACTCGTTGGTAATCTCCACACTTATGGAAAGGGATTCTCTTACAAATATACACACGACAACTTAAATACAAGCACAAAAAAGAATAAAAACATGTGAATACTGCAGATAATACGAGATAAAGCACGGTAGCACAGGAAGGACGTTAACTTAGCCGCTATTGATAGATAAATGAAGCTAGCTCACTGTGTACAACAGACAATCAAACATTTACACAATAAATACATTTCAGTGAGAGCTTTGGGCCAACGGGATACGTAGCAGTTATTTCCAGGATTACCACAGATTAGTCACAAATCCAGAGCTGGGTGATCTCCCTGAAAACCGGAAGCGTACCTTACTGTACCGTTCTGTTACTGTGGAAAAGCAGGAGCACAGGGACTGGACTCCTGTTAGTGTCCAGAGTCAGGACTAAACATGGGGAGGCTGCTTTTCAGATTCATGCTGCTAAAATCTGGAACAATCTCCCTGAAGATGTGAGACAGGCCTCCTCTCTGACACTGTTTAAAACCAGGTTAAAAACAGTTCTGTTTAACTGTGCATACAACTGAGGGATTATTTTAATTTTATCTTTCTTTTTGATGTACTGTGATTATTTATCTTTATTAATGCTATCTTATTTTGTTCAGCACTTTGAGTTGCCTTGTGTATGAATTGTGCTATACAAATACACTTGCCTTGCCTTTCCTAAAAACATAACCTTATTTTTACAGTGTCCACACAGCACGATGCGTCCCAATACTTGGAGCTCATTTTAAAGCGGATCAGTCCTTCTGCGTCTGAGGTGTGTGTTCAGCCTCTAATGTTCACGAATAAACGCCTCGACAGGTTCACAATTAACATTTACTATTTTTTTTATTTTCATTTTCAAAGATGTTCCGTGGAGAGTTGTTCCACTCCATAAAGTGTGTCAAAGGCCACTGCATCAACGAAGACACAGACCCGTTCATAGTACTCCCGTTACCGATCATAGACCCCGTGAATGGACTTTACAGCGTGGTCAGTTCATTCTATGTTTATCACTAAGACTCCCTCAATTCTGAAAGTACTAAACCTCCCACAGCTGTCTTTTTGACTGTTTCGACTCCCTCAATTCTGAAACTACCAGATCTCCCACAGCCGTCTTTTTGACTGTTTCTGTTCAAACCAATGGAAATCTGAGAAATTCCCTCCTAAAATTATTTGTTTTTCACCAAATGTATTAAAAGTAAGTTATGTATGTGGGTTGTTACCTGTTTGATGTAAGGCTAAATGCTAGCTGCTGCAAGTAAAAAAAAAGTATAGATATTTTTTATCCAAATAATAATATCGAAATAAACGAAGAATAGAACCATACACCTCTCTCCCCCTCGCTCAGTGAGTCCTTTTCGAGCAGCTTTAAAAATTGTGTCACAGTCCCTCATGTCTGCATATGTTTCCTCCGGGTGCTCCGGTTTCCCTATACCACTAAAAACATGTACAATATGTATGAATGAAATGAGTGAGTGAATGGATGGTGTTTGGTTGGAGGCTTTGATGCGCCAGTGTGTTCAGCGACTCATCACCGTGTGGAGAGAGAATTGATTGATTGACCTTGGTCTGTAAAATGCGTTATATAAATAAACATTACTTACATTACTTACTTACATTGACCATAGTGCTAGCCATGCTTCTAAGTTAATGAAAACAGGGTTGTGGTTGGGTGATTCTTCCACTATGGGCAAATCTGGGTCTGCAATTTTTGTGAAATATAAATTCTATTTTCAAAAATATTGTTTAATGTGTATCCCTTTCTGACAATGGTTTTACTGTTACTATTAAAAGGATTTGCCTTTAGTTGTAGAATTAACTAATGCTAAATCTGCCCCTATATATCTTTGTTATTGCTGTGCGTATATAAAATATTGTTTTAACTTCAACTGACTTTTATAAGTGTTTGTAAACTTCTACCATATTATTAAAGAAGAGGAGTTTTTCCATCTGTGTTCTTTTGTATGTTGTGTTTACAGGAGACTGGACTCGAAAGAATATTCGAGACTAGAATGTATATGGGGGAAAACCGAGCGTACTGTGAGGACTGCGGTCGAAACACCGAAGCGGAACACGTATGTATCACACTGAAGCTAAAGTACGAATCATTTCCACTCATCCACTCATGTGAAAACTTAATGTTGCTGCAGAAATGTGAGATGAAGGTCCATCCTCAGGTTCTCATTATCCTCCTGAAGAGATTTGTACTTCACCACAGCAGCAAAGGACACATCAAGTCTAACTGTGCGGTCAGCATCCCGGCCACACTGGACATGAAGGTTACTGTCACTCTAAACGCGCATTCTCTAGTTTTCAGACGCAGAGGACTTCACACCAGAACGTCCTGAGGCGAGCCGGAAGTACTGGAAGTAGCCGGCCGGCTCTAATGCTAACAGAGCTATGCTAGCGGCTTCTTGTGTACAGATCTTCTCCAATATGCAGCTTTGCAGTGTGTCTTTGCTCACAGACATTCCACGGGCTTTATACAACAGCAGTATGTGTTCACGGAGGTGCGCCATACGTTCTTTCATATTATTAAACGGAATTTCCGCATCGGCGAACACACTCGAAGCCGTTGCATAAAGTCACGGGAGCATGACAACGCATATTTTCACAAGCACATAGTCCCCCATTGTCAACCCTGGGTTGAGTTCTGGTGAAGTCTGGTGTGGCTCCTGTTTTGGCTGTTTACGAGTATTTTCAGTCTGCTCGCTCAGTCCGCTAATGTCCCCGTGACCACTTTGCTGCTCTCTGATTGGTTGTCGCACGAACGTCCCAAGGAAAGGATGAGCAGAATCCATCTCCTGTGGGCGTTGATTTTTCGCTCCTGCTCCTCCCTTTTCACTTTCCCGCCAAGTCCGTGCGTCATTATTGATTAATGCGTGCCGAGAGGTCCGTGCGTTGTGACAGTCGAACGCGCGCCACCATAGACTTTGCACTGAAACCCGACGCAACGCATGATCCGGTCTGAAAGCACCTTAACACTCCCAGAATTATGAAAATACTATCTAGAATTCCCAGAGCAGTCATTTTGACGGCTCTGAAGTCAATGGAATACAGAAAAATTCCCCAAAGTGAGTCAGTTTTCCACCAGTTTTATTAGAATGTTGGGGAAATCTCAATGTTGCACACATCAAACAGGATTTATGAGTTAACATGATAGATCTTAAAAATTAAAAACATAACAAATGTTTTATTTTTTTTATTTTTTTAACCTTTATTCCCTTTTAATAAGTGCTTATACGGTTGAATATAACTTGATACAGGAAAGACGGAAACGCGATCAAACGCTAACTGCTAGAAGGTAAAGTGCGTTGCTATGGTAACTAGCACTCGCTCTTCTCTGGTGGAAAACCAAGCTGAACCAGACCGAGTCCAAAACCAGAACCAGGCTAGGACCGATCCAGGACCAGCACCTTCAGAAAGGGGGTTTTAACTGGCATCAAAATGACTGTTCTGAGAGTTAAATGAGCAGTATGTAAAAATGTGGCCAAAAGTGGTAATGCACGCTCCCTGACTCAGGTTGCCAGATATGCAGACGAATCCAGCTGAGACCATAATATCCAAATATCTCAGCTGAACTACTTTTATCAGTTAAAGAAGTGTTTGAAAAGATCATGTTTTGTTAATGCTTTTTGATAGATTAGGGCCATTTAATGATGACTTGACATGAAAATCTTACAAACTGCTAGTTAGAACTACTGATATTTCAAAAATAAATGATAATAGACATTAATTCCCCTTATGGATCAATAACAATGTGTTTTCTGTTCTAGTTCTTTGTGTTTGATCTGTTTGATTCTCTAATCTGTGTTGGCAAATTAATAATACAAATAATATCATAAACTATATAGAGATGGAAAACATTACAGAGTTAGGAGGACCAAAAATGTGCATGAGCACTTCCAAAACTGAAAGCCGTCAAATTGACTGCTCTGGGAGTCCGTGTTTAAACCGTCTCTTTTTTTATAGGGAATGCAATATGACCTTTACGGCATAGTGCACCACTGGGGTCATCTGAAGAGTGGACACTACACAGCGACCGTCCTGTCCAGAAACGATAAGACTTGGTACCAGTTCAACGATGACCGTGTCCAAAAGGTACTGTATGTCCATTAATCTCTCTGCGGCGGCTGTGTGCGCATTTTACATTTTTGTTTTTGTCTAGGCTGACGAGCAACTTTCGGGTCACACCAGTTCCCAGACTGCGTATCTGCTTGCATATACAGGAGGTATAGAGATTCCAGATTTATACTGTTTACAACATTAATTTAACAGAGAAGTCAACATTATAATCATGTCTTTTCTTTCCCAAAGAGCAAAAACAAGTGGTCAAAACAGGTAATTTGATTTTTTTTTTATTGTTGTTTATTTGTCATGGACAGGGAACATTCATAAACAAACAAATGTACCAGTAAGGCTATTTTGCATCCGTTGTACCTTGTCAGATTTTAAATGTCAACCTAAAAGCAGAAATTATTAAACAAGAAAAGCACTGTAGGGAAAACAAAACACGTGTTTACAAAATATCAGTCATAAAATAACAGTGTATAACCGAAAATTTAGAAAAATTAGTTAGTGTTGTCTGATTTGTTATGAACCATGAGTTGAGATCGTTTTTTTTTAATAGATCTAAGAACAAACACACACACACACAAAAAAACTAATACATATGTTTTCATTTTTGCCATGTAGCACTTTCAGAACCAAAGCGCCCCCTACCGGCGACTCCTCCATGTCGCATAAAGACGGCACTGCTCGTGGGTTGTTCCGTCTTTGTCGCAGTCCTGTTCATAGCATTAGTTCTAGGTTTAAGTCTGGGATTAACGAAGTAAAGAAATTGAGTCTGCTGCTGGTTTATTCCCTATTCTGTGTTTACATTTATGGATTTTTCTGTCCTTTTTTGATGATAATGTAATAAATTATCACCGCACACACCACCACAGGCTGCCTTTCGACCTCCACTCACTGTCTTCACATGCCCAGGTCTAAACTCCCAGAGACGTCTTTAAAAGAGGCCTAAAAACCCTCCTTTTTAATCAGGGATTTCATGAGCTTTTAACCCCTTCATGTTTCTTTTTGATATTTTATGTACTTCTTGTCACGTGGTGAGATGATGGAGGACTCAAATGCAGGAATGCAAAAGAATAATGATTTAATAAAATAAAAATCCAAAACACAGACCCAGGAACAGGACAGAACAGAAGTTGACAATACAATGGACCAGCAACAAGCAGAGAGGAGCACAGGGTAATTATAGACAGAGACACAGGTGAAACACATTAGGGCGGGGTAGACAATCAAGACAGGGGAAACAGGACGTCAAAGTCAAACTTAAAACCAAAGCACAAAGAACAGATATCAAAATAAAGCTAAAGTCCAAAATAAAATCCACACCATGACACTTCTGAAGTTTTTCTTTGTTTTGAGGTTTCCTGGAAATGTAAGGTGCAAAATGAATAGAATGTATTACTATTATTTCTGTGATTTATTACATAGGAGAAACAATAAATACATTTGGTCAATTTTGTGAAATGTTTGATCATGATATCGCTTACAGTAATTTCAAAAATAAACTTGAAAAATACACTTTTTTTATTGAATGTTTTCTGCATTTTCTTCCCATTTCCGGGAAACTCAATGCTTATTGTTGGCGTGTGACTGCGAATTGTTGTGGAGTTTATGATCAAATTAAGTAAATGTCCATCTTTACTGTATCTACTTATATATTTATAAACATATAAGTATGATTATAGATCTATGGTATGATTGTGTAAGAAGACGGTCTGTGGCTGTAAGTACTTAGATAAATACATATAGAAAAACAGCTTGTTAAGAGCTCAAAATAAACAAATACATGAAAATAAAAAAACTGAGCGACAAGTCAAGCAGCAGAGAGTGACACAAAATTAAGGAAGATAAATGGGCAGTTTTATTGGATAATGACCACAGGGTGTGCAGTTAGAAGGCTGTCAGTGCAACATTCATACTGTAATTAAATGTTTAAGGTTGTTGGAAGAAGCACACAGAGGTAGTAACATCAGACATACGCTTGTCATTGAAGTGCTATCAGGGTCACTTCCTGCGCCACACTGGGATGGCGGTCTGCCGCGGGGCCACTCCAGCGCTGCAGGGGATGAAGTAGGAGCTGGTCTCCTGACACACTGGAGTCAGCTTCAGACACACAAAGCAGAACTCCACCTGGCAGCGAGGGCAGATCACGTTCTTGCAGCCTGTCGTATTGTGCTCGACTCTTTGCCCACAGGTAGGACAGGCCCGGATGGAGGGCACCGCCTCGGCCCCTCGCACCTTGGGCAGATTGGTGAGTTTGCAGGTCCGGAGCAGCTCCAGCTCTAAGTTCTTGCAGCCAGAGTTACCACAGCGGTCAGAGCGGGGGGCAGGGCCAGTCCAGGGTTTCTGACACTGCCAGCAGAAGAGGTACGGCTTGCTCTGTCCCGCCGAACACACGCTGCATATCACACACAGGTTGGTCATGTTCTTCCTCTTGATGTCCGTCTTACATTTGGGGCACTGCATCAAGTTTATTAAAAAAACATGGATTAGAATACTGTATAATAATAACAACATATCAAAGTACAATGTTAATTCAATTCAATCTTTTTGTATTGCAAAACAGTTGTCACGGAGGACTTTACAAAGTCCAATCAAACAGTTTGAACACAAGAAATGCAATATCAACAAACACATGAAGCCATTGGTCCATAGCCAAATGACCAATGTTCATAAATGTTAAAGACTCCTCAATGAATGTCCTTAAATGTTCTGGATCATGACAGTCCTCAGACCCTCCTGCTTCAAAAACAGACGTAAAAAAGTGCAGGGTGAGAGAGGGATCTGCTCCCACAGACAGACAGGCTCTAGATCCAGGAGACTGGTCCAGAGGTGCAGAAGAAAACATATTACATAGGACTCACCTTCTGGATGTCACTGTAGTCCGCTGCAGCCAGACGAGCTATGTTCTCCTCAAACTCCTGCATCTCTTCCACGGTCAGATCAGCCGCTTTGCGCACCTCTCGGTACGAAAGAGGGCCGTTACAGAGTCTTCCTTCCACAAAAGCAGGACATTTGAATTTGTAATGTCCCTGAGAAAGAAAAAACAGAGCATTTTAATTGTTAGAAGATTTCCCCCCAAACAGCAGAGGTGGCTGGTTACAGTACTAATTATTTTTACTTGAGTACAGCACTTATATTGCTACTTTCTACTCCTTACAGTTTGAAATTATTTTACTTTGTAGATGGCTGCGTGACATAAAAACAGGTTTGATATGGGCATGCTTCAAAGGAAACTTGTCTAAAGCAGTTGTCCTGGAAATTATTCAACAGAAATGCATTTTACTTTTGACTTTCATTACAGATTCAGATTAATCTTATTTGCCATTTGCAGTAAAACCACGTTGTAAATTAAACACGCTAAAACGTACAGGAATAAAACACGCTAAAAGTACAGGAATGGAACACGCTAAATGTTCAGGAATAACCTTTCCCAGAGTTGATTTGTATAGTTTATTAATCTCTCTTGTGTAGGCAAATGTCATTGCAAACTGTTGCCACTACGTGTCACTCTTGAGCTATTTCTTGACTAACTCCATGTCTACAGGTGTCAAATGCACTATTACATACTATTTCCAACATGTGTAGAAATGGAGATATAGAATGACCTCTTTTAATTGAGCCCGGCAGGCTTCAGTGAGAGATTCAGGGGAAACAACGTGTCCACACGACAGACGGGCTTTCAACACGCCATCCTCCGATGCTGAAACCGAAACCAAACCACGACGTTTCAAATAGCGTGGGCCTAGAGAAACATTCAGAGCAAAACAAGTAAAGACACTTACAGAAGGGATCCAAGTCATCTTTAGCGTTCACCAGCGTGACTGTGGTGTCCAGAGGGTCGAAGCTCTTCTCAGCAGAGCTCATGTTGTAGCCAGTGCAGAGAAGGCAGAGGGTGTCACAGCAGGAAGAATGAAACTGTCTGAAGATCAGCTTTGGCCCATATCTACAAACGTCACGTAGACAGAGACTTCCCACTACAATATGGTTTTCTGTAAAGCACCCAACTCTCACCACAGCAGCTCTGTATAGAGGTCATCACTCTTTATGGCAAAACAAACTATTGTGTGCTCTGTTGGAAAGTGTTAAAGTTTTATATAGAGGCAAGAAATATTCAGTGAATCAAAGTAGATTTACATTGCATTTTATTCAATATCCCAACAGTGAAAGCAATTCTGTCAGTTCCTTTACATGTAAACATGACAATTCTTTCTCAAGTTTCCATAACATCATGTAACAATTTATCAGCCACACAAAATACCTCTGTTCCATTTTTGTCATTTCTGAAAGTGAAACTATAGATTCAATGTGTTGTGGAATTTTTTTTGAAGCCATGAGGTGAAAAATGAACCCTGAGCTGTACTACAATCAAAGTGTGAGTTTATTCATTAATAAATATCCACATATACAAAGAAGGACCACGTCACCCATACCACCTGACAGCGCTCTGAAGCTGTCTGTCTCCAATAAGGAAATGACTAGACATTAAATAGACAAGAGTAAACAAAGACAGTATTCAGTATTATTTCATACCTTTGACCAAAACAAAGCTCGAGTGATGCCCCTGGAGAATATTTACAGCGGGGTGTTTGATTATTCAGCAGGAATTATAGAACACCTTATTACCACATTTGTAGATAAATATTTCAATAATTGATTAGTTGTAATTACTCGGTTAACTTGTTGAATGCAGTTATGTAAAGTTCTAACCCTAAATATTCCCTTTTGATTTTGTAGAACACACACTAAGGTCATTATCAGTGCCTTTTTCCTATTGGCTTTTCTTTAGTGTTATTTTAATTACTTCATCGTTTCCTCTTATTTCCACAACTCGACTTTGGATCTCCTTCCCACGTGTTTGAGTAACACTTAAAATATCACCTTTATTTCCCTCTTCATATCTCCGACACTCCGGTTTCTTGAGTTTTTCTTCATCATATACATTTGACTGGCTTTCATAATTTTTTGAATTCAACTTTAAGCTGTCCAAATAAAGATCATATTTTGTCAAAAGCGCTTTTACACCCGCTTTGCTTTTTGCGTCGCCCATATTTTGTGTTTTTTCAGTTTTTTCTCTCAAGTCGACAGACCTGGTTAGATCTCTGTTAAGCGCTGATGAAGCTGGTTCTGTGTCGTTTTGGTTCACACTTGTACTACAATCACATGGAGCTACAGCAGAATCTAGGGAGTTACTTCCTGCTTTCTCTTCCTTCTCTCCCTCTGCAGAGATGAAACTCTCCTTTGAGTGACTTTTCAGATCACGGTCCTGAGAGAATTCATCAGTGCAACCTTCCCCTTCTTTCTCATCTGCATTTTTACAACTGCTTTCCCTGAGCGAGCTTGATTCGTGTCCTTGTTTACACACACTGTCCTCTTCAGTATAGCCACACACTGGACTAGATGCACTCATTGGTGAAGCATCTTTTGAGTTTTTCTCCTCTGCACAATTAAAAACGTCAAGCTTGTCAATTTCAGTTGGACTTTCTGTTTGCTGATCTAAAGAGTTTCCACCAGAACCTAAATATTGGCTTGAAAATCTTGTATCATTGTCATTTTCATTCCCTCTCACAATTGTTTCTTCTGTTTCCAAATGCATCGCTGGCAGAACAGCCAAGTCAATATTTTGCTCTTGTTTTTCTGTCGTGTGTAGGTCTGAGCCTTCACAGCTTTCATAACCTTCACACAATTTGACTATTTTTGATTTGTCGTCTGATTGGAGAGAGCCCTGGCCTTCTCCTTGTGCACATTCAGGCCTATGTTTTTCGGGTTGGTTTGTAGAGCCATCTGCACCTGCACTATATTTAGATTCCCTTCGTAAAAAGTCCTGCGTCTCACAATGAACCTGATCTTGGCACGTTTCGCTTGAGTCTTCAGTTTTTACTATATTTGTTTTGTCGTCTGATTGGATAGAGCCTTGGCGTTCTCCCTGTGCATATTCAAGCCTAAAATCTTCTAATTGCTTGGTCGAACCATCTGCACCTATAACTTCCGGTCCTAAAATGTCTTGCGTCTCACATTCAACCTGTTGTTGCCATGTTTCACATAAGGGTTCTTCAGTTTTGACTGTTTTATGTTTGTCGTCTAATTGGATAGAGCCCTGGCCTTCTCCCTGTTGGTTAGTAAAGCCACATGCACCTACAGTTTTCCTTCCCAATGAATTCAACTCACTTGTTTGTGTAAATCTTTCCCCAGTTCCAAAACCATTATTGTTTTTTGTATTGACCAGTGTTCCCCCACTTGTGATGTCTCCTGCGCTGTTGTGTACTGGTTCTGGTGGATTTGGTCGCTCCCCTCTCTCCCGATGATTTGGGTAGAACTGAGAGTCAATCGTATTTGAGGAGCTGCTGCTGGTGTCTAAATCTTCACATTTCTGAACTTTTTCATCAAAATTGAGCTCATCACCATTCAGCTCCTGTTTAGGTTTCTTCACGGGAACTGATTCTTGACTCTCGTCGTCCGGCCGGGGCCTCTTCTGATTGTCATTTAATGCGATTTCTTCAATTTCTGGTTGAGGAGCTAGAATATACATATTTTCAATTTCACACTTTGTCAAAGTCTTTAGCATGATGGTTAAATGTCTTTTTTTTTCTCTCACCTTTTAGTTTTTTGTAAAATAGTAGATATGCACTTCGGGACCTACATTGAGGTATTGAAGGATATATTTGTTACTGCTATAAAAATAAGGCAACTATAGCACAAGCAACTCTACTTAAAGGGGCAGTATGACGTTTCTTTAATTTTAAGTTACGTACAAATCTTAATGGACCTTTTCTGTACTAAAGTAGAGTAATTCTTGATTAAAAAACAAATATATTTAAAGAAATATTGATGATGATTTTTTCAAGAAAAATATCTAAACAGAAAGAAGTAGACTGAGGCTCTCATTTGGGTTGCCAGTTTAGTGAAAATTAGCCTGTCTTGGCTCCATCCTTTTCTTTTTAAATAACAAAATTCACACCCAAAAACAGCTTTTTCACATCTCTTTGAAAATAATCAGATTCAAAAATTAGTGCCATAATTTCCAGACTATAAACTACCGAGTGTGGCTTATATTTGAGTGCGGCCTATATGTGGACAACAATTAATTAATTTTAACCTTTTCTTGGTGCGACCTATATACAGGTGCACCTTATAGTCCAGAAATGATGGTCGTCATTTGTAACCCTATATGGTGGTTTGCATCAGGTGCTATATGTGTCACAGGCTGAAAGATTCTGGCAACAAAAGTGACTGCAATTGTTAATGTCTCTAACCCTAACTCTAAGAGCATATTACACACAGTCTCTTTTATGGTTCATACCTTTCCAGTGCTGGTAAGGTCGAACGTCGGGTCTAAAAAGAGGAACATCCAACATATGTTTTAAATTACGATTCAGATTTTTTGAAGATGTAAGGTATGTTCTGTATACTTACCACACTAGAATCATTAAATTCATACCAGGTATCATCATACAGGGACTTGATAGTAGAAATATAATGTCCATATTGTAGCTCCCCAAAATGCTCCACCATGGCGTGCAGCTTATACGTCTGACTCTGTGAAAAATATTTACAAATGATGCATGAGCTGCAAACGTTTAGTTGACTATTTGTCTTATTTACCCCTGGCATCTGTAGCGTGTCGGGCACATTCACACAACTCTGGTTTTTCACATATGTGTAAGTGTATTCATAGTCAAACTCAAAGCGTTTTAACAAAAGCACCAAGACTTCAGGATGATGTTCCACCACGCAGTCCTGAAACAGAGAGAAGTCAAATATCAGACTGTCACTCACCAATATCACAGTCTCTCACCAATATCACTGTCTCACCAATATCACTGTCACTCACCAGGACAGCATCACGTTTGTCATCACATTTTTCACAGTACATCTGGTCATCTCCACTGATCTCTGACGGACGGAAGAAGTCCTCGATGCCCTTTTCCTGGAGAAATATACATAGAGAGATTGATAGTTAAATACTAGATAGACAGATGGATGGCCGGATGGATAGAGGGATATGTAGAAAGATAGTTAATAGATATTGAATAGGGGCTTCATGATAATAATGTTGAAATTGAAATGTCTCAGTAAAATCATGTCCAGGCTTTGTCATACCACACTGTATTCTTCAGTGTTGTTCACCAGAGGCAGAGGGAGGCTCCAGAATCCTGCAGGACTGTCATACTTAGTATGACACTGCTTACACTTATTCCTATTTATCAGCTTTCCGTGGAAGATCTATGAACAAAACCAAACGTTGAAACAAACACATAATACTAAATGAGCACAAAGCAGCTGTTGGTGCCTGTACATGGGACGCCGCTGGACTGGTCAGACGTAGAATCTTCTCATAGTGCTCGGCTGCGTCACGCGGCACTCTTACTGGGAAGAAAAGAAAAGTATCTTTGTAATGTGACCCATTGCAGTAGTGTTCTGTAACACTTTGGATTAGCCCTCACTACTTAAGAATATACAGTATGTGGTTTGGGGCGTGTCTGGTAGGTGGTGAGGTTGACGGGTCGAGGGCGAGTGGCATTGTTTTTAACCAAACTGTAAAGCACTTTGTGTTGCATTTTCTATATAAAAAGCACTTTATAAATACAATTTGATTGATAGATTTATTGACTAAGTTACAGCTAAGTACACCCTAAACCCGCATAGGAAAGAGTGTCAGTTAGTATTAGTTAGATTATTAAATAAGGCAATGTGGAATAAAGACAAATAAGTAAAATAAATGATATCAATTAAGAGCTATTTAAGTAGTAAGTAATCTTTATAGAGCGCCTTCCACAGACCAGAGTCACAAAGCACTTTACAATTGTTGTGGTCGTTTGTCTCTCACTCCTAACAGATGGGAGCGAGGTCGCCAACACAGGGGGCACAGTCCAGAGATTTTGTACAGATTTATAGAGGTAGGGTAAACCGGAGCACCCGGAGAAAACCTACACAGACACGGGGAGAACATGCAAACTCCACTCAGAAAGGCCCCGTTCCGACCGGGATTCGAACCCCGGACCTACTTGCTGAGAAGTGAGAGTGCTATCCACTCACCGTGCCGATTGATCATTCAGTATACACTAGTGAGTTGTTAATTATCGAGGGCTAATCTAAGTGAGACCTAATATTCAAGGAAACTACTGTACCATTTTTAATGTCGAGTCTCTTTGTGATTTTTCGAGTGCAGGCAACTCGTTCTTCCAAATCTTTGAACAGGTCTCTCAGCTCAATGTCAATGTAGGTCGTGTCTGCAGTCTTCCTGATGGGACATAAAATAAACACACAAGTTAGAGTGATCTTTAAATGTTGAATTATGTTAATATAATATATCACGTATTTTGTCACTAACTTGACGCTCTCTCTGAAGTCTTCGGTCATGAACAACACCTGCAGGACGCTGTTCAAGTAACATGTCGCTCCCTGGTTCAGCAAACCGTGGTACTACAAAAACAATATACAGTCAAGTCCCCGTAGCCTGCAATTAATTCACTTTAAAATGGTCTTTACCTTGTTTTTCATCGCCATTCAGCAACATTCCCCACTGCACAGTTTCGCTTTCATTTGAGATATGGGTGTGCTGCGTTCAAGGCCAACGGGAAATAGAGCCAACCTAAAATCACTATTCAAACAGGTGTGGCACTGCAAATTATGATACAAGACAGCCATTTGTTTTTTTTTTTTTAAGCTAGAACAAAGCGATCCAATAGAATTTTCTCTTTTTTAAAGACATAACTTAATTGTGTTGGAAAGGTTTCTGATGACTGGTGTTTTAGTTTATTTTGTGATAATAATAATCTATTTATAAATATTGCTCTGAACCTGCATTGAGCTTGAATAAGGGGAAATAAATAGTACCTATGTGATCATTAGGATTAATCCTGAGTGAATCATCTCTACACATCTCAAATCTGGATCTAGACTAGGGGAGTCCAAACTTTTTAGGAAGAGGGCCACTTTGTAACCAGATTTGTCCAGGGCCAGACAAGGATTTGAACAGTTCTGATCTTAAAAATGCGGTATGGCCTGTCTATGTTGATTCACATCACAGCTACATTAGTGCGACCTTAAAAACAAATGTCAGCAGATACAGATAGATAATGGATGTTTACTTTATTGATCATAGGAGAAATGAATGTGACCAATAGCAGAAACAAATATGATCCATACAATTGATTTATTAAACTCAATTCAACTTATATATATGTTCATATACTGTAGACCAGAAGTTTTTATATAGCCCATTAGTTTTCTCAGAGGACTTTACAACTTTTTTAATTAGCCAAAACAGATCAAAAAATCAAACAGTTCAAACACAGAAAACGCAATAATAACAAAACACATAGAGCCATTGGTCCATAAGAGGCAGCTGACCAATGTCCATAAATGTTAATCAATAAATAGATTCCAAAAAAAAAAATCAACATCATGACTCCGGGAAGGTCCAAAGCTTTTCTCATTGCAGTGTTTCAACTACAGTATTTTACCAAAGATGCAGAAGAAGAACAAGAAAAATCGCAAACCAAGGAAATAATTTAGAAACATGCCTTACACTGAAGTCTACTAGTCATTTATGTTTCCGCTTGTTTTTTCTTTTGAGAAACTTGGGAACTGGGATACAAAAACAAGATTTCTTCTTCCTCCTTGGCTCATCGTTTGTCTCAAGAACCTCTCCATTAACCTGAATGAATATCTCAGGATGGTCGTGAAGAGATAGATTGTTCACTCCTTCAACTAATGCTGCACTTTCTTTTTTGGGTGATTTCTTTCTGAAGTTTTCATTTCCTTTTGCCTGTTTTTGGTTGGTTTTAGCCTCTCCTCTTCCATCTGTTTTAACTTCTCCTCTTCTATCAGTTTTAACTTCTCCTCTTCTATCTGTACCGTATGTATCAAAACCTCTCTGTTTCCCCAATCTTTCCAAGCATTGCTGTGGATTTATCTCAGACTTCTGCCCTGATTCTCTGTTGTAACGTTGCACTGGTGGTAGACCCTCAGCACGCACATTATGGCTGTATTTCTCCGCCTCTCTTGCAACATTTTTCTTCCACCCCTCCTTTGTCATTCTATTCCCATGGATTTCATTTCCAAATGTCTCTAGCTGATTGTCTTGTGAAAAATAGCGGTTCTTCTCTGATCTACGAGGGCTCCCTGGCCCTGGACCTGCTCCAAATTCAAGAGGGTAATCAGACCTGTTCAAAGACCCACCCCTTCTTTCTCTGGAATCTCTAGAACTCCATTGGTGAAATTGCTGATTTGATTGTGTTCTATGTGAGCCTGTGCCTTGAACAAAACTATGACTGCGTTTTATAGGTCTTCTATATTTGTGATCATCCCCAGGACTGTTTTTTATACATCTCTTCTGATTGAGGTGTTGTGTGTTCCATGTGGGTTTGGATGACCTGTTCTCTTCATAGGGGGACCTTGCTTGTTTTGTTGATTGTCTATTGGCCTGATGCTCCTTTTGCTCCAAAGGTATAGAATCATTTACAATCTTCACATTTCTCGGTAAAGGTCGTATTGTGCACACAGCATCCTCACTGCCATCGTTGGCCTCTCTTTGAAACCCATCACTACCCGGTTTCCTATTTTCTCTGGGCTCAGTTTTGTTATAATGACTGCCCTCTGTTTGATGGTTTTCACTAGTTTTGTCTTGACGAATCTCTCTGTTATTCTGAAACATTTCACGTATTCTGATGTTTTCTTGTTGTTTTTGGTTCCATTCTTCACAGCTTTTCCTCTTCTTAGCCTCATTTGGTTCAGCATTATTATCAATATTAAGATCCTCTTTCAGTCTGCTAGTGCTCTGTTCTGTATTTGCTTTGCGTCCATGTTGGACTCCAGGTTCTTTTATGTGTACCTCTTCTTCTGGGGAGAAAAAAAGAAGAGCGTAAGATAAATAGTAATTATTGAGAAAAAACAATTGTAAAACTCGAGACTTAAAGTGGATTTCTGTAAGTCTGAAATGGGGAAGGGAAAAGATCTTTGTCACCATAAAACAGAAAGGACTTCCTTGCATTTGAATATACCTGTTTACCAATGGGATCCTAATTAATTCTTCATATTAATATATTTTTCCCATAGAAGTGTAAAAAGAGTTTGAAAGCATGACAGAGGCTCACTAAACTTCTGTGTATGAAACCACAGCACAATTATTCTAATCCAAAGAGCACAATGTAACATTTTGTGAAATATTCCGCTTCTAATCAGCAACAATTTCTCCTTAAAATGCATCATTACACAGCCCTGAGCAAGCTTTAATCTCTTTTTTTACAACAATCAAAGTGATAAACTCTGTCATTGGTTTCTTAAACAAATTCTAAACACTATTTTTATCTCATCCTTTCTTATCACTTTTATTCTGACTTACTGGAAATACTTGTTATATGTACATGTAATGTATAATGTGTATAAAGGATCTCTCTCTTAACCCTTTAATAGTTTCCTCAATCATTTGGGGGATCACTTGTTAAGTCACTATATCTACTTGAAGCTTGGAACTGAAATCTACCTCATTGGGGAATCTCTTTCACTTTGATTTAGGCAATGTTACCATTAAACTGCATCTCAACCATTTGATAAAGGCCTATAATTAAAAAACTACATCTTTGAAAATAAAAACAGAAACTATTGCATTTCTTTCTTCGAGGAGTGAGACATACATGTATCTTACTGTTTGATTTGATTGTTTTTGTCTCTGGATAAATTAATGAATAGCAAGCCTTCTTGAATTCCGTCTCTGTCTGGAAATAAGCTAGCTGTAAATGTCTAACTGATCTGAAATAACTTGAACTTGGACAGAGGGGAGAAAGATCCTTGCAGTTAGACTTATACTGTACATTACTTTTCACATACCTTTCTGGTAAAACAGAAGATAAACATGTCTTGACCTAAGAAGATAAATCAAGATTGATTTAACATTTTACTACATACAGATTTAACATAATAATAATAAAACAACGTACAGCTCGGTGGGATCCAACTGGAAATGATTATACTTTGACTGTTGAAGAAACATATTTGTTTTAGATTGTGTTATTCTGACAAATCTGATCATTTTCATTATTATATGACTTGGACCGTACGAGCGCTCTGATTGGTTGATTTGCGGTCTGATATTTTCCCATCTCGGACCGTTACCATGACAATTGGTTCGCAGAGCGTTTTCACATTATATATCTCCTTCGGTAAAAAAATAAATAATGGGTGACGACTGGGAGCATTCTCCCAGTGAATTCTATTATCCTCGCCACGGCTCGGTCTGTACATTAAGGCTGCGGTCTGATATTTCCCCATACAGACCTCGCGCTCGGTTAATAAGCCGTCAATCATACCTTTTGAACGTTTAAATCATCAAAAATCCACCATCCGTCATAATCCTGGGATTTGATTGTGGCGATGTAATGTCCACTTTGCAGGTCTCCAAAATGGTCCACATAAGCATAAAGTTTATATTTCTGATTCTGTAAAAATCACACCAACATTTATTCACTTGCAATCCCACTGTTCCAGCTTTTTCATCAATACTTTACATCTTGAAAGGTCAGAAATTCGGGTATCTTCACTGGGCAGTTGATTTTTCTCCAAAAATTATACTCAAAAATCATCTCGAAGCGTTTTAACAGGAGGACAAGGACCTGTGGATATTCTTTCATCTCACATTCCTGAGAAAAAACACAAGTTAAAGGTGATGTTTAAAACTCCAGCTATGTTTTATTTTCACTCACCAGATCCGCATCACGTTTGTCATCACATGTTTCACAGTACATCTGGTTGTCGCCGCTGATCTTTGTCGAACAGAAGAAGTCCCTAATGCCATTTTCCTGAAGAAACATATGGTGTTTATGTAAAAACAAAAAGTCACTTGTGGCGCTGTCATTATGAAAGTGTGACTTGTGTGTGGTTTCACTTTCAACTTTCTTTTCCAAACCCAAATACGTGTTTTATACGTGTTTTGGCAGCGTTTAGGATTTATGCAGCTAAAATCTGAAACAGTCTTCCTGAAAATGTGAGACAAGCTTCTACTCTGACAATGTTCTAATCCAGGTTGAAAACAGTTCTATTTAGCTACGTACAATGGAAGGATTGTATGTAGAATATGTCTCAGCAAAAAGAATACCTCGAGAGGTGGGTTAAAACTTGGTTGTTCTCACAGCGCAGTAGTGCGAACGTACAGGGAACACATAAAACATACAGAGATGATTAGCTGTAAATGCTAGAATGGTAATGCGGGTTTTGGTCAAAATGTTGTATTATTGCTCAATGGAATTATCCATTTGCTTAGATTGTATGGAAGCAGTAGTAGTTTATTTTCTTTGGTCATTCTTAACATTGAGTTCAGATTTTTTTGTTTTTAAGATCTTATACATTATACAGTGGGGGGAAAACGTGTAAGAAGGATTAAGAGTTTAAGTGCAAATAATGCCTGCCCAAAAGGGTTATGCTGCCTGACCCCTTTTACAAATGTGATACTATGTCCAAAGATGACACATAAACAGTTTCTCTTCAGTAAAAGCGTGTCCAGTATATTGTAAGTCCAAACAAGTGAAATCTGGTCGTACCACGCTGTATTCATTGCAGTTAGTCACCAGAGGGAGAGGAAGGCTCCAGAATGGCGCTTCAATCTCAGGCCCTTTGCCACAAGCACTGCATTTAGTCCTGTTGATGAGTATTCCATGGAAGATCTACACGATAAGCAAAAGAATGTGAACATGTGAAAGCAGGTGTCTCAACCTACAGCTGAAGAGATACCAGTAGCTCGCCACGCTCGTCAAAGTAACTCCCAAAAGAATCATTTCACATGCTTACAACTATTGCAAATCCCTACTTTAGCTTAGAACACTAATACATATGAAAGATTGTTTTATGGGTATAAGCTGCATTGTAAAAATACCCAAAAAGTCATAAATTGTCCAAATTTGGCTAAATTCATTATTGAATATTTTGACATTTAAGGCAGAATGTTCTCAAATATACTCAAAATGTATGATAATGTACTCAAATTAAGATAAAAAACACTAGGTTCAAGCTATTTGTACCTCGTATTAGATAATTTTTTTGCAATGTACAAACTTCATTCATTGTAGGTCACAATTAAGTTGAATTTTTCTCAACTGTCTAAAGTTTCTCTCCTGGAAAAAGGTTGGAGAGCCCTGTATAGATGCTGCTACCTCTGATGCCTCCGGTCTGGTAAACCGTAGAATCTTCTCGTAGTACTCTGCTGCATCGTGCTGCTCAAACACTAGGGACAAACAAATATTACAACAACAGGATTTGTACCTGTCCATACTGTGCCTATATTTTACCATTTATTATGCTCAGTTTCCCTGTGATGTCGCATGTATCGGCAGAACGTTTTTCCAAATCTCTGAAAAGGTTTTGAAGCTCACTGTCAATGTGCTTCTTCCCTGTGGGCGGAGGGGTGTGGCTATAGCTGTAATTACAACATCATCAATTACAATCAGTTTAGATGAGCTTAAAAATCACTAAAGATGTAACTTTTTTAGTGGCTGTATGTCACATGCTTACAGTATGTCCAAACTATTAATTTCTTGACTATATATTCAATAGTAAATAATGTTAACTGCTTAAAATACTAATGCTTTAACATCTCCATGGAGACCAGCAGGCGAAAGTTACGTAGCACCATGGACTCCCAAAAAACTCCCCCAAAATAATCTAAACTTTTCATCAAATTTATAAAAAAGTAATTATTTTACTCGCTATTTTTAATTTTTTAATTTTTAGCTTTACTCACTATTTACTACATTTGTTAAAAGCCTAAATGCTAACGACCAAATGCTAGCAGCCGACGAAAACCGGGTGTGTTGCTATAGTAACCAGGACTCACTCTTCACAGGTAATTTCATAGACATAATAACAGACATAAGGGGTTTACAGTGATAAAGAAACAAAGGAAGTCATACAGTTATGAAGAGCACAAATGTACACAAGCTGTACACTTCCAAAACTAAAATCCGTCAATTTGACTGCTCTGGAAGTTAGTGTTAAAACTGGGGTATTTTTTCAAACCACTTTACTATGTAAGAAAAATCCTTATAACTAGTTCCTAACCATAGATTTATGTTCCTAACTCCCAAAATAGTCTAGTTCTATATAGTTTTCATGTGCATTCATTTTTGGCCTCTGTCACATCATGTTTTTCAGAAAGAAAAAAGCCCCCGCAGGCAATCAGATCTCAGCCCAAGGTAAAATTGTGACTCTTTAAGTAACCTTGATTGTAACCTTTTAACAAGTATGCATACATTTGTTTGATAATAATAAGAGGCATATTTGGTGTGGTTTGTTCCTTACAATTGCTATTTTCAAGAGTCTTTCTGTTGGACCAAAGAGTATGTATAATGCATGACAAGACCCATCTTTAATTGTAATAATTGAACTGGCTCCAAACCTTGTAATTTTTTCCCTGAAGTCTTTAGTCATGAACAGCACCTGCAGCACGCTGTTCAGGTAGCATGTAGCTCCTTTATTCGCCAGCCCATGATATTTAGCTGTAAATGTAGACATATTATGAGTACTGTAATTGCATTTTGTCAGTATAATATCAAAGTCTCTTACCTGATTGTCCCCTTTGACGCGTGTTATTCATGTTCAATGTTTAAAACCTGTGCAATGGCTTGCCCTCTTCACACAAATACACTGATAATTCACTGAACACCGCAGCACAAGTTTACTTTCTGTTTCGTGTTGAATGAAGATGCATTCACTGTACGTCGGAAAATAGAGTCCAGAGTCATGCGGTATTAACTAGGTGTGTAATGTATCATCAGGTATTATATTATTTTTTATTTTTTTATTGTTTTTACAGTCTATGATTATAATGAGTTCCAACGAGTCACTCGACATTCAACAACATTTACGTTCTTGTATCAACATTATGGGCATTATTATGGTCATCTTCCCCTCTGTGTTTTTACGTTTGCATTTCTTGTGTTTGAACTGTTTGATTCTCTGATCTGTGTTGGCGAATTCAACGTTAAGTCCTCCGAGATTTGTGATTTAGGGCTGTACAAGAATAGCCTGACTCTCGCCAGACCCTGATGCGAAACGCCTCTGGTCGAGCATGGCGGAAATACAAGGGTCTGGCGAGAGTCAGTTAGTACAAGTATACATTGAATAGTAGTACAAGTAGTACAAGTAGTACAAGAATACATTGAATTGAATTAAATTGAGTCATTAAGGCATTGTTTCTCAAAAGTATGATATTGTTGTGGTGTATGTGTGTGTTCAGTTGTACATAAAACACATGTTATGTATATGTCCTCATCAACATCCAATCCAATCCAATCCACTTTGCTTATACAGCACATTTGATGGCAACATGAAAGAATCAGGCCATATCTGAAATGTATCTGCTCCTTATTCTGGCCATAAACTCATTGGGACAGTCCAAAGGTGCAGCCACGTTGTTTCCATGAAGTATGCAATAGACCTGTCCCTAAGATAGTTCAGAATCTCATCAAATGTATCATTTATACTGGGAAAAATCTCTTAAAAGCACATTTGTTTTTATTTTTTAATACAATTTTTGCTCAAGTTTATTTATCTTTATCTAATTTTCCTAATCTCAAATTAATGCTAATACTTAAAAAAAATATATTTTTCTTTCACTTTTCATTCTGGATCAGCAGGAATGATAAGGGAGTTTCCAATCGAGCGGAACTTGTAAACAACCCCAGGGAGTCTTAATCATATTTAATTAGACAAACACAGTACATAATACATGTAAAACAATGTTGATAGTTAATTATTAATTATACATCAAAATAGACAATAAAACAAAATACAAAGAATACACTTTGCTATCATATTTCCACAGCTTAATGCTGTCTGTCTGTATTAGCAGCACATCACATTGTAAAACCAGAACCACCAGTTAAACATGTGTCTCACGATCTTCAGGTACTTCTGTCGTGCTGATGTTAGAGTCGCTGTTACTTTGCTCACGCCCTGCTTTTTGCTCGTCAGTATCTTGTCTTTTCTTTGCTACATACCTATGTATTTCCCTATCTCCACTTGTGGTCACACCCAAACTCTCCACTCCCCTGGGTTCACTGGTCGAAGTTCTCTGTTCCTCTCTGCTCGACTCTCGCCGCTGGGAAATATCAATGCCTGACTGAAATCTGAGTTTATTTTCAGGTGGCAGTGATGTCGGTCTTGAAAACTGCTCTTCCTCTTCCTTAATAAACGTCTTGACAGCCATAACTTTCTTAAATTCCTCATTATCTGGATAATGTATTTGATATGACTGAGGTTGCGGGTGAAATTCCTCTGTTATGTTTGCCTGTGAATATTCTCCGACTGCCATCTTTTCATCTCGAGTCCCTGAATCTTTTATACGTAATGTCACTTTCCTTTTATAGTCTCCTTGTTCCAACAAACTATATGTGTCATTGAGCAATTTACCGCATCTGTCCTCATCGTCATCTTGGTCATTCCCTATGTCCATTAAACTCTCACAGGCACGTATATTCTCTACCTCTGCTAATGCCTGAGCCCCGATGTATGACCCCTCCTCGTGATGCTGGTCAAACTGCTGGTCCAAATGATCCATGTACCGATCTGGGAATTTGTTATGTAGTGTTAGTTTATCTGAATGGGCTTCCTCCTCTTTAATTCCACCCATACTAAACCCTTTGTGCCAATCCATTTGGCTGTCGTCAATTTGTGAGACTATGGATCCCTTACTACCTATTGTCATGCTGTTAAAACTATGTAGCAATTTGTCAATGGGGAGAGATGTTTCTTTACTTTCTGAAATGCCGCCGTGTGGGCTTCCTTCATGATCATCTGGCCTTTTCTCATTGTTGTCCTGAGTTCCATCTTCTCCGTCTTTCTCGTTGTCTTTTGTGTTTTGTTCCGCAATGGCATGCTCTTCCTGCGGCGTTCTTGCAGTGGACACATCTCTGTTGAAGCTATCTACAAGAATAGAATTATTGAGATTGAATTATTGAGAGTCATTTAGAAGATCCAGTCATCATAAAGTGAATACACTTTTCAGACCAGTACTTGTGTGGAGCCTGGTGCTAAATGGGATTTTTTCTTTACAAACTCATTTCAGAAAGGTCTGTTTATTCTAATAACACATTAGTACAAACAGACCTTTCTGGAAAGAGTTTGTTAGAGGCTTTGTTTACCCAAATTGAGCCACTTTAAATTTTGTATCTGGCAATTGGAAATCCCAAAAAACTCTGTATGTCTTGGCGTGTACCTGTTTTTCTTCTGTAAAACAGTAAATAGGCCGTCTCGGATCTGCACATATAAAACAACAGTTATTGTTGGTTTGATCTCACAATAAAACTGTTTTAGAAATGAATAATAAATGATAAAGAACATTGGTATACATACTTCTCTGTAGGTTTCTCTTCAAAAATATGAGAAGTCTGTAAAAAGATGTGATTAAAATGATTACCATTATATTATATATATTTCACACATTGTTACTTTTTTGTATAAAACGATCTGATCTCACAGAAAATGTCTATTCTGTGACCTGTTTTAATGAGTGGTGCATGTACTAGTCTATTCTTTGAAATGAAGGAGTATATAGATAAAAGAGTATAATTCAAGAGAAGTATTTAAAAATAGTATTTTATGATCAATACATGACATACTAGAGAGATGGATGATAGAGGCGTTTGGCTAATGGTCGAGTGTTGAGGACTGGTGGTTAAGGAATAACAACCACAAGGTGAAGTATTCAGAGGTTTTCTGAACGTACCACTGAGAGGTCATTGAAAAAAAACCATCTCCCGTCATCCTTGATTTTTGAAATATAGTGTCCATATGCCAGATCTCCATAGTGCTCCACACAGGCATACAGCTCATACATGTAACTCTGAAAAAAACAACATGTTAGTCCCCACAATGTGCACAGCCAAAAGCCACAGACACATAGATAGATCGATAGATAGACTACTTACTGGTTGTATGAGCAGAGAGTATGGCACCTCCACTGCACAGTTGTTTTTTACAAATATCTTATGTCTGTTGTCATACTCAAAGCGCTTCATCAGTAGAACCAGGACCTCAGGACAAAGCTTTAGGCTGCAATACTATAAATAATAGCATGTCTTAAATTAAGAGCTGTTTTTTCTCATGTGATAATCACAAATATCACATTCCTGACCGTGTGTGCGTTGCATGTTTTAAAGCATTCCTCACAGTACATCTGCACCTCCCTCTCTCTCTGGAAGAAGTCCTGCAAACCTCTGTGCTGAAAAGATTAGGATGTTTTATCAGAAATTTCATACTAACAACATGTTATGGTTTGGTGCAGTCGGCTCTATACCACAGAGTAGCCATCTGCTGAGTCAACCAAAGAAAGAGGAAGATGCCAGAATCCTGCTGTGCTTTTGTATTCTTCTCCACAATCCAGGCATTTACTGATGTTTTCCAGTTCACCGTGGAAGATCTGTTTGAGGAATCAGTTTCATCTTCACAGCCTCACATATTTCAGACACATTGAAGTTGTGTGCTTATCTGTGTGATTAGCATGTTACCATCATGTTACCTGGGATGCCTCTAGACTGGTCTGACGTAGGATCTTCTCATAGTTCTCTGCTGCATCGCGCGGCTCAAACACTGCATTGAGATAAAGTAAGGTTCTTTCATGAGTTTTTTTGGTATTGTAGACGTGCAGTGTGTGTTAGAGGAGCACCATTGTCGATCTTTAGCTTCTTAACGATCTTGTATGTGTAAGTCCAATGTCCTTCTAGTTCACAGAAGAGGTCAGTCAGCTCATGGTCGATGTGCTCTGTCCCAGGATTGTTCTGAACATAGCTGCAAAAATATATCATGTTAAAAGAATCACTGAGTAAACGACACAAAAGTCTCTCCACGTACTTGTTGACGCGCTCTCTGAAGGCTGCAGTCCTGAACAGAACTTGCAGGATGCAGTTCAGGTAACATGTCGCTCCAAGATTCAGCAAGCCGTGGTATGAAGCTGCTAAAATCACACTTGTAATTGGTTCATAGTTCAACACAAGAGTATGATTGTTTGATTCTGAGGTTCAAACCGGTTTCTTGCTAAGTTTCTTTGGAACTCTTGAAGTCTTCATCTTAAACAAAACTTGTACTGGGCTGGTTTTAAACATGAACTGAAGCAATTTCTTACGAGCCTGTTGTGAGACTACAACTGCCTTTCTATAATGTGAATGTTGGGACGGATATTGCAAATTAGCTTTGGGTATAAATGTTGTAGTGTTTGATTGTGTACACTCGCAACAAAATACATTACAAGATTTGAGTTCCTTGTCGTGTAAAAATAGCTCTTTCCTTTTGGTTTGATTACATCTCAGGGTGTGTTTGAAATACCAAACATTATTGACACTGCCAGTAAAAGACCAGGAACTTCTCTCTTCAGCCTCCTCTGTTCAGACTGTAGAAGGAGTGACTAAAGAGTGCTGATGTTACCCATAGTAAGCCTCATTGCGGTAGAAAATGAATACAGATTACGTGAACAGGCTCCATAAGAGGAAATCAGGAGCCAGATTTGTAGGTAGCAACAACCTAGCAACCACAGAGCCAATCAGGTCTGTTTCGACTCATGCTGCTTGCAAGCCAAAACCAATTTTATATGGATTCCCACTGTACCTTTTTGTGAAATGTCCCCCAGCTGTGAAACGGGAAATGTTAAAACCAAACCAAACAGTTTGTCATTCTCCAGTCTATTAGAACCAACCCCTGCACACCTGCTATACCCTCCTTTATTTTTTCCAAAGAACATGTAGGAGGAAAGATTGTTCCAAGCATAATTAAAGTAAAACTACAGGGCTTCATCTTCACAAAAGTGCATTTGTTTAAACTCCAAAGGGTTCTCAGCCAGATTTAGTAAGCGATTGTGACCCATATTTGTAGGCGCTATGAAGAAAATAGGTTCGAGAGATAAGGGGATATACCTCTTTTTAAAAACATGTTGGCCTTACCTTTGCGTTTTTGGTAAAACAGAAGATAAGCTGAAGAAAACCTGACAAAAAAAGGAAGCTGAAAAACAGAGCTAAAAGTGTATTTTAGTTTTGTACTGTATATATTTACAGTTTCTTACCTTTCTGTGAGACAATACTGGAAATACTGATTCCTAGACTGTGAATGAGGTCATGTTTATAAAATCTTCTTTGATGTTTACTTTGTATCAAATTTTACAAGCTTACCAGTGTCACATATCTGTCATCAAATGTGTACCATCTTCCATCATAGGAGCTTCTAATAGTGGCTATGTAGCGACCAATGCCTCCTTTGTGCTCAACAATGGCATGCAGCTCATACGTCTGATTCTAAAATAGATAGCAAACTTGTCACAGCAGTATTCTTATAGTATTATACAAGTATTACTCATTTTACCTGAACGTTTAGGACCATGGGCACATCCACGGAAGAGCAGGTCTTGTATCTTTTGCATGTCTGGTCAAAATCAAAGCACTTAAGCAGAAGCACTAAGACTTCTGGAGGATGTGTTATTTCAGTTTCCTAAGTTAAAAAACGTCATGGATTAAATTGGATTGTATTTTGTCTTTTGTCTTTTGTATTATTTGTTACTGACCAGAACAGCATCACGTTTGTCGTCACAGGTCTCACAGTACATCTGATCATCTCCACTGATGTGGGATGAATGAAAGAAATCCAAAATGCCCCGTTCCTGTACATAGAATAAAATGGCATTCTAATCATGGCAAGGCAAGTTTATTTGTATAGCACAGTCTATACACAAGAAAACTCAAGGTCACTCAAAATCATGAGGGCTTTTAGATATTTGTAATTGTAGTGTTTCTTAATTAAAAGTATAAAGGAAGATTATGTGTAATTGTGTAACATGTTGCGTTGTTATCTTACAGTAATCCTAGGTACCAGAGGAGCAAATGTTTGTTTTTACCCTGGACCAAATACATACTGTATGTGGACACAGGGAGGAGACTCATGGGGAAGACCCAGGACATGTTAGAGGGACTGTGTCTTTGAGCTGGCCAAGGAAAGTCTCAGGATTCCCCCAGATGAGCTGGAGGAAGTGTGCTTAGAGAGGAAAGTCTCTGTCTCTGCTCAGACAGATAACTGTGGGTTTCCAAACCGTTAATGGATAAAGGACTGTGGTGATGATCCAGGACATTTATCAACATTCATGGACATTCTCTCCCTGTGGACAAATACATATGTGTATTTTTTGTGTCTTAACTGTTGATTCTCTAATCTGTGTTGGAGATTTCAATAGTTTTGGTAAGTCATCTGAGATGACTACTGTTGTGATTTAGGGCTACACAAGAATACATTGTATTGTATTGTATTGTAAACGGGAGAAAATGGATGGATGGATATGTGGACAGGACATGCAATATACGGCTTGCTCTGCAGGTCAAATCTACCCCTGCAGCTACACCATCTAATATGTTGGACTCTTGAGGTCATTGCCTTACAGGAATAGTTGTTTTACCACACTGTAGTCTTCATTATTGCTGAGAGAAAGAGGAAGAAGCCAGAATCCCGAACCGCTCTCAGTTGGAACGTGACACTCCTGACATGTATTCCTGTAAGTCAGTTTTCCACGGAACATCTACGGACACACAAAGCACAAACTGTAAAAAGGACACAATGATATACAAGAACAGCTGATGTGAGTGATTATGCACCTGAGAAGCCTCTGGACTGGTCTGACGCAGGATCTTCTCATAAACCTCTGCTGCGTCTCTCTGAACATTCACTAATGCACAGAAATACTGACTGAGAATACAACGGCAACAGGGACTTTAATAACAGTACTTTTACCATTGGAGATCTCCAGTTTGTCCGTGATGTTATTTGTATGAGCAACATTTAGTTCCAGCTTTAGGAACAGATCATTCAGCTCTCTGTCAATGTGTTTTGTCTCTGGGTCGTTTCTGATGTGACTGGTTAAAAAGAATAGACAGGAAAACATCAAATTCACAGTTTTAAACATTTAATCTGCACATAGTGAGACAAACCTTGTGATTCTCTCTCTGAAGACTTGAGTCGTGTAGAGAACCTGCAGCACACTGTTTAGGAAGCCTGTTGCACCTTGGTTGACTAAGCCATAGTATTTCACTGTAAAGCATCATAATCATATAATTACATCACATTACATTACATAATACACATATGTCTGACCTTACCTCCAGACACCTCTGATGGCTGAAAATGAGCTTCCTTTTTGTCAAACCCATTTCGGCTCATGTTAAGACAGAAACTTCATTCGATGAAGGTGCGTTATAAGAAATAGTTTCTTTTTCTCATGCAGAAGACGAGGAGGGAACAAACAGCCGCGTTCAGGGCGCATGGGAATTACAAGCACCTATCAATGGCTCCTGCATGTTACAAGCCCACACCCTATTATGTATGCAGCCTAAATCAGTTTCACTTTTGCATTCTTTTTTTTTTTTTTTGGCTTAAAAGCCTTCCTGTTTGTGTCAGGGTTGTTTAGGGTGCGTCCTATACTCATATACTTATTCTGCTATAAAGTAAAATTGAAATAAATGTACAAAAATAAATACAAATCTTTGATCCTAGCCTGGTTCTGTGTTGAGTAGTTATATGTGAAAATTCAGCCTTATATTGTACGAGACTGCATTCTTGTTTATAATCATAGAATAGCTAATAAAAAATCCCATTTATTTAAAATAAAAACAAGACCATGAGACGAAGTTGGGTAACAGAGGTGTATTAAAATGGCAGAACACATTAGAACGTGATGATATTTGTCATTGCATTGATCAAAGTGCATCAGGAACAGGCAGCAGCGTCCGAAGAAGTGCGCTACAGTTGTCTTCCTCCGTCCACCTGCAGGACGAGCTGGACTACGGACATGTGTTGAACCCCGTAATCTTTCAACAGTTTAGAGTCATCATCCAGACGCTCGTCCGCGAAGATCAAGCTTATCCGGCTCAGCTCTACACACAAAGCATACACGCATTGAATACACACATAAATACATACATGTTTGTTTGTGTGCGTATGGCTTTACCCGTGTTTATTTTGAGTTTGGCCACTACTTTGGTCTTGAGTTGCTCCACGGTCATGCTGCTCATTTGCTCCTCCGTGTTGCAGAGGTCCACCGTCACTCTTTCTCCTTTAAAACCGACCACCGTCACTTGGTAGAGTCGACCCATCCTCACGCTGTTTCTGCTGCGTTCTGCTCTCGCCAAAGTTTCGACTTGTGCGTGCGAGCGCGGACCCGCGCTATGTGCCAGTGTGGCTCCTGTAAAATATGTGACGTCAGACGGGGACTTTCGTTTTTGTTTTCGGACGCGTTTATTGTGATGTATTTTAGACCAAATATTATCAATACCTCAGTTCAAGATGTTCAAGGTGTAATTTTTCCCAGAACAAATTAACAGACAAAAGTGTTTTTTTGTTTGTTGCTTCCCGTCCAGGATGTTACCTGTTTACCGTAGTTTGAAACCACGTGACTTCCTCATACAGGCAAAAACGAAAGTCACCAGTCGCCAATTTACAGCGCAGATTTTATCTTCAGACGAAGCAGCTGCAGCCAAATGAGCGAAAATGGTCCTGGAGAAAAACGATACGATCCTCAAGACACCACCTTAAAGTTTGTGAACAGACCGGACGACCTGGACCCTATGCGTAAGATCCACTAATTTGTTTTGTTTGGCCTGAATAAAGCGACAAAGTGTCATAAATGTGTAATAGAGCGTGTTATTATGTGTGCGTTGTACTTTCAGCTCCAGACGAAGGAGAAGAGTGCATCTGTGCAGAGATGTCCTGTGGTCATGCAGTCACCCCACAGTCCCTGACTGGGTGGTGCCGCAGTCTTCTGGACCAGGTAGTACTGTAACTGTTTCATTGGATTCACTGCGGGTTTAAGTCAAATCTCTGACAATGGCTTCACAGGGACAGTACAAGTTCAAGTGTCCTGCTCTGAAGAAGGGCACCACTCAGAAGTGCGAGAAGGAGTGGCCCTATCAGGAGGTGCGCAGGCTGGCTGTGCTCACTGCAGACGAGATGGAGCACTTTGAGGAGAATCTGGCCCGTTTAGCTGCTGCAACGTACTTCGAGTACAAGGCTGTGAGTTTTTGCAATGGCATGTGACCATGAGTATTTTCATGTCCTGGTTATGCTTGCTCTTCCTCCGCCAGTGTCCTGGGTGTAAAACATATGTGGAGAGGAAAGACCTGACCAACCTTGACGTGGAGTGTACAGTTTGTCGATCTGACAACAAAAACAGTCAGTTCTGCTGGCAGTGCCTCAAACCCTGGAAAGGCCCAGCTCCTCGCTCTGACCGCTGTGACAATGATGGCTGCACCAACCTTGAGCTGCAGCTGCTGTTGAATTGCAAAACAACCAACCTCCAGGAGGTGGAGGGGGCACAAGCAGTGCCCTCCATCCGGGCCTGCCCCACATGTGGGCAGAAGGTGGAACACAACAAGACAGGCTGCAAGAACGTCATCTGCCCTCGCTGCCAGAAAGAGTTCTGCTTTGTGTGTCTGAAGCTGACCCCTGAGTGTCTGCAGACCAGCTCCTACTATAAGCCCTGCAGCGCTGGAGTGGCCCCGCGGCAGACCGCCATCCCAGTGTGGCAGCGGGACTGAGACCACCTCTGTCACCTACAATAACTACATTCTTCTCTGCGTTTAATGCTTATTCTCTCCTGTTTATGCACTTTCATTATGTGGAGTGCTCTACTCTACTATGTTCTAACTGTTCTGTGTTAGATTAAACTGTATAGTTTACTGTAACTTACTGTTGGTGTTGGAAAGACAAATAAAGCTTTTTCTGCCATTTATTAATGTTTTGTGTGTTGTCCACAATGACAAAAATCGGCTGGAACTGATGTTTATTGTAAAACAATATTTAGTTATGCACAACATGTACAATGTAAAAAACAATTCAATCAATTAATGTTGTAACAGTTACAACAGTGAAATTACTGTAACTATTCAACAATACTAAAGCTTTGATTTCACAGCAGGGGTTTCTCATTCTAAAATAATATAAACAGGAGAACAGTGGGACATTTCAGGGGCTCCCACAGGAACAACATAGTAACACAAACATAAATAGTTAAACAAATATATCTGGGCCCTGAGTAAGGCGTGAGAGACAGTATTTACTTTCCTTCATATCATCTCCATGGCGACCTCTGACTGTCTGCTGCGCTCCCTGTTTTCCCTGGTGCTGTGTTTGGGAGTCTGCAGTGCAGTGTGTGGGTCCTTCTCCGCCTCCTCGTCTCTGGACTCTGTGGATGTGACTTTGAAGGTAGAGGTGCAACAGTGTGGACTTTGCTTTCAGACGTCTTCAAAGTGTTTTGCCTCTGATAATTTCTCTCTAACAGTTTATTTGACGATTTCTCCTCGACCTCCGCGTCGTCATCTCTGGTATTACGGTTTTCAGGATTTCTACTTCCTGAAAACATAAGATTACAATTAGAAAAGCATCAAGTAATAAAGCACATAATATAACATGAAGATAAATATAATAAACACACACATACACACGCGCACACACACAAACACACACGTACGCACTAACACAAACAGATCAGATAAGATAAAGTAGTAAGTAAAGTAAGATAAGATATACTTTATTGATCTCACAAAGGAGAAATTTACATGTCACATCTGGCATGGATAGAAACACTCAAGATTGTGCAAAAAGAAAGAAATGTGCAAACATGTTAAATGCAGGATATTATGTACAATAAAAGTGGCAAATTAAAAATTAAAACATGTACACAAACGCATACACATACACACAGACAAGCATACACACAGACCCACACACAGGCACAAACACTGACTGCACACACACTCAGACACGCACACACACACACACACAAACACGCACACACACACACACACATGTACAGACAGTGACGATGACGTAGGAATGAACTTTTTTAAAACTTTAGACCACTATTGATTACTGCAAAAATACTTACTTTTCTTGTACATGAGAAGATACGATGAGCGAGATCTATAATAAAAAGCACATTATTGTTAAATGTTTGCAGTTCATGGGTTTGCTACAGTTAGGTACAGTAGGATGTTTTTATGTGGATCCCCATAATCTGTCATGGTGTCCCGTTCAAGATTCCTAAAACATGTATAATACTTACAATTGAAAGACATATCACATCTACTTCAGTCAAGAACACCATTTACCTCAAATATGTTTTTTTTAACATGTATTTTCTCTCCTGTTGGTACAAAAAGTAAATGAATACATCAAATCACAACATGAGAAACATACAATAAGAACTACGTCTTACTAGTCTAACTGTTTCATCGTTGAAACTATACCACTCTTTGGTTTGAGAAGAGTAAATCAATGCCACGTAATGTCCTCCGGTTAGCTGGCCATAGTGTTTCACCAAAGCATACAGGTCGTACGTACAATCCTAAAAGGAGAAATAAGTCTGTTAGTATTAGTTTTATTTGTCATATTTTCTTATTCAATTGACCTTTATGTGTAAAACGAGAGGCACTTGAGCTTCACAGTCGACCTTGACGTTGCCCTGGAGGTAAGAGTTGTAGTGAAACCTCTTCAACAGAAGCGTCAGTATTTCTGGAGGCTGCGTCATCTCACACATCTACAAACAAACTGTTTTCAACAGGAACGAACAGTGCAGTGGCTCAGGTCTGACGGATACTTACTACAATCGCATCTTGCTTTTCATCACAGGTGCCGCAGTATATTTTGTTCTCACCACTGACTTTTTCTTTGCGAAAGTAGTCCTCAAATCCCTTTTCCTGCAAATATATTTATATATAAATGTACACAATAAGCATTGAATAACTATTGTGTTGAAGTTATTGTTGTGTACCACTATGTAGGTTCCATATGGGTCTTTGATAGACAACGGTAGGATCCAGAAAAAGCCCAGCGCATTATTTCTGCTCTTACATGTGCAACATGTGGTAGTGTGCTCCAATCCCCCTTTGAATATCTGCAAATATAGTTATGGAAGACATAATAATACATATATTGTCTGACAGTTGAGATAGTAATACATACAAGAAATAAAGTACATATACTGTACATACAAAAAGTATTCATATCCCTTGAACGTTTTGACATTTGACACTACAATCTTGAAGATATTTGATTGGGTTTTTCTGTGATTATGTGGCAGACAATTGTGAAGTGAAAGGTAAATACATGATTTACTAAAAAGACTCCAGAGGGTGCAGCCAGTTGCCTTTGGAATTATCCAAATGGTTCAGATTTGATGTGAGTATTTCTTCTACAAATTAAAACAAACAACTTCATCATCATTTTGCTTTCCCTTCAGTTTTCTGTTACTCTGTTGTGGTCTTTCAGGGCCATCACAACTGCCTCCCAATGCCCCTTGCAACAGCTCTCGCTGTTCCTCTTGCGGGCGGTAGGTCCAAGGCCTTGTTTCAGCAACAGGGCCTCAGTCTGAAGACCGAGTGAGAAGACTGAGCGAGGTTAAGTGTCTTGCCCAGGGACTCCCAGGGATGTCTGGGACAAGGTTCGACTTCGATCCCATGGCCATTTGGTACAAAGACTGTTTCTCTACAAACAGAGTCACTATATTAATTAAAAGAAAAAAAATCATCTTACCTTAGATGCGTGTGGATTCATCAAACACAACATTTTTTCAAAATATTCTGCAGCATCTCGTTGCTCATAAACTGAAATAAAGATACAAATGTTTAAAGTTCATGGGTTCTTTGTGCAGCAATGTCCCTCTTTACCGTCTGCAATGCCCAATATACGAGCAATGTCATGTGTTCTGGCCTGATTCTTCTCCAAAGCGGTGAATAAGCACTTCATACGTTTGTCAAGTGCTGTTGCATCATCGTTGCATCTGGAGACAGAAAATGTACAAAAATACAAGCTGAAGTGTACAACAGAATGTATCTTTGGTTTATTTAACAGGAATAAAAACAATCACATGGTCAGTCAGCAGCACAGTGCAGCTCATTCACTGTTTGTCCATAAATGTCCTTTTCATATTCAAATAACATTATATCATTATTATTATTATTAACTATTGCCCTGTGCTTTAGCGTACAGGCCACCTTACACATAAAGCATATCTATTATAACCGACCTTTTAATTCGGGCTCTAAATTCTTCCGTCATGAAAAGCACTTGAAGAATGCAGTTTAAGTAGCAGGTAAGGCCTGGACTGATCAGTCCATAGAAATCTGAACACAAACACAAACACTATGAGACATCAACGTTAGAACAATCCTGCTGATCATGTTACAGTAATGGCTGTTGAAACATTTTTTCAAAACACAAAAAGATGACATAGAGATTTTTGATTTGGATTTAGGTCTGGGCCATTCCAGCACATGCATGTTGTGTTTTACAGGGTTTATGTTTATGGAAATTGTCCTGATTGAAGATAAACCTCCACCAGGCCTAAGCCTTTACAGACTCCAACAGATTCTCTTACAACATTGATTTAATTTATTCTCAATTGACCTTCCCATCACTGATTAGTTAAGTAGACTAGAAACATGAATGTACATTTTTATCTTGTTTGACAAGTTTACTTAAGGCTGTTTGTGGCAGTCGGTCTCTTTCTTGGCATCCTAAGCTAAAATAGGGTAAGGCTTTAAAAGTGGTTGACTTCAGACTAAGCCCTAAACCTGTTAAAGTCTGCAAAAGACTGAGACCATGTGATTGTTTTTATTCCTGTTAAATAAACCAAAGATACATTCTGTTGTACACTTCAGCTTGTATTTGGTTGAGCTTCCATTGAGAGTAATTTACCTAAACATAAAAACTTTGAATACAATATTGTAAAAAACAAAAACAATATGTCGCATTTTTGGCATTAGTCTGCCCCTTAGTGTTTGTGTTTCATAACGAGACCAAAGTGTGGAGGAGTTCATGTGAGGGAAGTGCTGTGGTTTCTCTCACCTGAAATATTTATTTTATCTAACTCTCTCCGAAATATGTCCACGGTGCCATGATTCATTCTGGACGTAATGACATTTCCAAGCAAACAGGATGTGTTCGGCCTGTAAAAAATACAACATTATTCAAAAAGCATACTGGCTTCAAATGTTTACGGGAAAACAAAAGCACGCATGCGCACTGTACACATACTTTGGTCACTCCCAAACTGGTTATGAATGAGGCTGATGATCAAACTGCATCTGTCCACTACACACGCCTCCACTCGCTCTATAAAACATCACAAAACAAGGACGAGGAGCTTAACCATTGAACCAATCCAACCATAGACTATAAATACAGAAAACAAACCAGAATCAAACTCACCACTCGTGTTCCAGCGCAGAGCAAGTTCCCGCCGCTCAAAAACGCCTCTGATTTAGTTTCACTTTCGATAGTCAATAACACTTGGTGCCCCTAGTGGCCAATAGCGAAAGGTCGGCTTGATTATATAAAGTTATGGGAAGGAAGAGTTTGCAGTTACAAGACCAAGCCCGTAGGAGACAGTTCAACAGAAGCGATCTTTGTTCAAGGTAAGAAGATGATACTTTAAACCTGTTTGTGTGTGATTTATGTTGTTTTCCCATTTCCTGTGATTTCATCCCGAGCCAAATGTAACATGTACATTTCTCCACTGTGAGATCAATAAAGTTTAACTCATTTGATCTCTCTTTAATCTAAACTAATGCATACTTTCTAATCATTTTTTTTCTTATTTCTTTGCAATGGTTGGGCCTATTTTAAAAATAAGTACTTCATTTTCACACAGATGAACATTTGTAAGTTAAGTTAAGTTTCATTTACTAAAAACTGTGTAGAAATCCCCTGAGTGCAATTAAAGTTGTGAGTCATGCCTTGCTCTTGTTTTGCAGTTGTGTGCTTTTCACTTTGCTCTTGTTTTGCAGTTGTGTGTCTTTCACTTTGCTCTTGTTTTGCAGTTGTGTGTCTTTCACTTTGCTCTTTTTTGCGTGTAGGGCCTTAAAACATGGAGGACTCGCCAGAGAAGTGCTATGATCCATTTGATCGCACTTTGGTGTTTGTTGACAAGAAAGATGATTTGGATCCATTCCGTAAGTCTTTTCTCTGATTTAACAAATAATTCAAAATGGTCTCATGGTGATCAAATAAATGAATGATCTTTTTGGCTCAGCCTCAGAAGATGGACCCCTGAGAGCACAGATGTCCTGTGGCCATGCTGTGACCCCTGAATCTCTCACAGACTGGTGTCGCCATCAACTCGATCAGGTGACACTTTTACTTTCACTATCTTCCAGAATGTTCTACTGGATTCAGCAAGTCTATATTTGTGTATGTACAGGACATAGCTCTAATGGAGATATGTGTTTTCTAGGGTAATTTTAGATTCAAATGCCCTGCCTTAGTGGAGGGCACAAAACAATGCAAGAAGCCCTGGTCTTATCAAGAGGTGCGCAGACTGGCTGATTTAACTGTGGAGGAAATGCAGTACTTTGAGGAGAACATTGCTCGCATGGCGGCCGCTGAGTTCTCTGAGATTCAGCCTGTAACTATACAACACATTTTTCAGTTAAACATTTTTTTTTTTAAAGATGCCTGGATTTTTCCACATTCTGACAGACAAGCCAGTGACTTTACTAGACTAAGTTATGGATCATATAGAGCAGACCCAAGTTTTTCAAGTTTTTGAACATTTATCTGCATCTGTAAATAAAATTTCCATGGCAACTAGGGGACAACATTAGAAATGTTGCGCAATGCACCTTTACGTTTTTAGACAAATCCTTTTGGGAACAATTACTTACAAAATTGCTTTGTTTCTGCAGTATTTTCTTTAAGAATTGTGTTGGTAATATGGGTAATGGTAATATATTACCAGTTCCATACAACATAACTCAAGTTACATGCATATTTGTTTTTTTTGTTCACACACCCATTACTGTTCACTTGACCATAAACAAGATCATTTAGTTCATAAAATGCAAGAGCTTTATACATCTTCAACCGGAAGAAGAGAAAGGAAAAGTCCATCAGTGTAACAGCTTTAGTGTTCTTAGACTTAAGTATCTCAGTGTAAGAAAACTCTGTTACATCATATTATGTCATATAATGATAAAAACATATTACATTTTGATCTCAGTAATGAGTAACAAAGTATATATATCATTTTAGAGAAACTTGCTCAACACGTTTTACAAAGTTCTATTTTGTTCGCTTAGTGCCCTCAATGTAAAAGCAACGTGGAGAGGAAGGACCTGACGAACCTGTGTGTGGAGTGTCCTGTATGCACCGCTGATCAGAAGAAGTGCTATCAGTTCTGTTGGCAGTGTCAGAAGCCGTGGAAAGGCCAGGCCGAACGCTCCGATCTCTGTGAAAACGATGGCTGCATCAATAAGAACCTGGAGCTTCTGCAGATCTGTAAAACCATCAACCTGCCTCAAGTGCGAGGGGCCACAAACTGCCCCTCTGTCCGGGCCTGTCCTACCTGTGGTGTGATAGTAGAACATACCCGAAAAAATTGTAAAAACTTAATTTGTCCTCGTTGCCATGTTGAGTTCTGCTTTCTATGTTTAAAACAAAAAAAGATATGTAACAAGACCAGTACTCCATACATCCTGTGTCAAGGAGGGGTGGCACCGAGACAGACGTCAATCCCAGTGTGGAGTAAACATAGACAGGAGAGACAAGTACCAATACCTGCAATTAATGCAATGCCTGGTACTCCAGACATCCTGGGTCAAGGAAGAGTGGCACAGAGACAGAAGTCAATCCGATTGAGGGGTAAACCTAGACAGGAGAGACAAGTACCAATACCTGCAATTAATGCAATGCCTGGATATAAAGCAGTGGCTGAAGAGCTGCAGCAGCGACTGAGAATGAGATTAATGAGAGACCTCCAAGATTAAGCCTATGGAGATCTATAGATCATTTCCATAATGACGCGTTAGTTAGAACCATACACTTTTGATGTTAAAGATAACTATTTTTTCTTTGTATTTGTTTTTATTGTCATCTTCCATACAGTAACAATTTTCAGTATGTCCCTTTGTGCAGCATGTAGCAGGGGACAAACATACC